AGGATATTCAACCTAAGATCTCAGGGGATACAGCTCTTCAGGCCCTTGAACATCTAAGGCTATATGAGTTGCAGCAGGTAGATGGACAGCCAGAGATTGTGAGCATTCTTGACAAGCAAGAGACTGTAATCAAAAGAAGGAAGGCTGAGATGCGAAAGCAGAGCGATATCACGTGTTTCTTTAGTTAGACTGGATAGTCCTATAACCTGGTTAGCAACATAGAATGAACTCAGGAATAAGTTATGTTCTTATCCAGGTTTGACTGTATAGCCAATGTCTGGGAATGGAAACGGGTCGAGCCTACCCAAGGTTATGCTCTTCCGCAATCCGTATTATACGACCCTCTCAATCCTGCTCTTCACAAGCTTCAACGTCGGCAATTTATTGCATCGTGAGCAGTCCAAGCTACATCCGCTCTTGGTCCCGCCGTGCTGAATAGATTGACACATCTCCTGCACTTACAAATATATGCATTTACATAACTCGACGCCAAACGCGGAGGCCGAGCCAGCAAAGAGCACGTCAGAGCCAACCCTGCAGCCACGACGGTAGATCTTGCAGTAGTGGCCCCGGGCGAACAGCAAAAAGACGACCGGGCTGCAGTATGCAGCATCTAAGCCTAATTAGTCGCTGTCTTGCTGTCCGATGGAGGAGTGGATGGGCTGATAAACTCATTCCGGCAAAGATCTTCAGCCTCACTCGCAGTCTGGCTTGGAACCGGCAAAAGCATGTCAGACAGAACCCGTGCAGATCGGCTTGTCCCCCAGTCGGCGACATGTGTTCTTCTGCGAAATGAAGAAGAGCTTCATCAATATTTCTGACATTCTGCGTGGAGTGTTCTAAGACGTCAAACATGGATGAAAAAACACTCGCTCCGCCAAGTGAAGAACAAGACAGTGCAACACCGCCTGCCACGACCGGCAAACGCTCAACCCTCCACAATGTCTACATCACCGCCATCCTCATCATGGCTCACTTCACAACACAAGTCGGCCTAGGCCAACTCCTCGCCATCGTCCAGATAATCGGCGCTGACTTCGACATCACCTCCCCTGGGATCCTCTCCTGGCTCAGCGCAGGCTACAGCCTCACAGTCGGAACCTTCATCCTCATCTCCGGCCGCATGGGCGACATCTTCGGCTACAAGAACATGCTCGTGATCGGGTACGCGTGGTACGCGGTCTTCACGCTCGTGGCTGGGTGTAGCGTGTACAGCAACTATGTGTTGTTTATCTTCGCGAGGGTGCTGCAGGGGATTGGGCCGAGCATTTGTCTGCCGAATGCGTTGGCGCTGTTGGGGATTCTTTTTGAGCCGGGGATGGGGAAGAATATGGCTTTTGCGGCTTTTGGGGCTTGTGCGCCGACGGGGTCGATTATGGGGTCGATTTTCGCGGGGGTGTTTGCGCTGGCTTGGTGGCCTTGTAGGTTATTGTGAGCAGAATGGTGGTGCCGTGTTGACTGACTTGCTGCTAGGGACGTTCTGGTCGTTCGCCATGGTGCTTGTGGCACACGCTGTTGTGACAGCTCTCACGATCCCTGATACCCAAGTTAGGACGATTCAACCGAGATCTCTCGTCGACTATATGAACCATCTCGACCTCTACGCAGCAACGATCGGGATCACGGCAATGATCCTCTTCAACTTCGCCTGGAACCAGGCGCCAGTCGTTGGATGGGACTCGCCCTATGTCCTCGTGTGTCTCATCCTCGCAGTGCTCCTGTTCCCAGCCTTCCTCTACCTCGAGCTTCGCGTCTCGAAATTCCCGCTGATCCCCTGGAGCGTCTTCAATCGCGACAACGGCTTCGTACTGGCATGCATAGCGATGGGCTGGGCCTCGTTTGGAATCTGGTTCGTTTTCCTAAAGCCCTATCCGAACTATCAACTGATCTCTCGCAGGGTCTACTACATCTGGCAGATCTTCCTCGTCTCGCGCGGCGTCTCTCCCATCCTCGGCGCCGCCTACTTGACGCCCATGATTATATCCGGCATCGTCGCAGCAGGGAGCACAGGCTTGCTACTTGGGATCGTCCGTCCAGCCTGGCTTATGGTCTTTTCGCTCTCGGCGTTTCTGGCGAGCGCTGTGCTAACGGCTACCCTCCCACCGCACCAAATCTACTGGGCTCAGATTTTTGTCTGCACTTTGGTGGCGACGTTTGGCATGGAGATGTCGTTTCCGGCGGCGACGGTGTATCTGAGCAACTCCATTGAGCGGGAGCACCAGGGTGTTGCGGCGAGCTTGGTCTCCACGATCGTCAACTACAGCATCAGCCTGGGATTGGGCTTCGCAGGTACCGTGGAGGTGAATGTGAGGCATGGAGACAGTCCGAAGGAGATTTTGCAAGGATATCGAGGAGCGTTGTACATTGCGGTTGGATTCGCCGGTATGGGCCTTGCTACTAGTGTGGTGTTCTTGGCACACACGTACTGGGGTAGTCGGCGAGGAAGCAAAGTCGAAGCCAGCGAGTAGGTCGCGGTTACTCTGCTTGCTGATCGTTTACACATCATTGAGCATCAAGACGTCCTCTTCCACATGTCCATTAGCATGAGCATTCGTGAGCATGCCGATCTCGCCGCTGACATCGTCCATCTGCCCTAATGCCCATTGTAGCACGAACCGCTCCTCGCTCGTCTTCTCCAGGCGAGCATAATGCCTGTCGGTGTACGCTTTCAAAGCGTCAAGCACGTCCTTCACACTTTCCTTGCTTTGGATCTTTTCCTTCGTGCTGAGCTCAGCCATGGCGCCTGTCAGGGCCTCATCATCATTCGTTGGAGCTGCTTTCCGGCGACGGTTGAGAGCCAGCAGTTTCTCCTTGGGATACGTTCGAAGGATCGCGTACAGTACTTGCTGCGCGACGTGATGAGTCCGGCCATTGGCATTCCAGTCTCGGATCCTTCGCAGGAGACTCCAGAGCTGTCCTTCGCTCAGCGTGCCGATAACCTCATCTACTTGAAGATTTCCCGTCAAGCTCTCGGGATCTCGTGTACCGTCGCTTGCGCTCTTGAAGATTTCAAGTAAGCGTTTTGGATGATTGAGCTGCAGTGCAAGCACGATGGCTTCGCGGTAATTGTTCGATCGAATGTGGTTTTGCAGCTCTTGGTCTTGCTCGATTCGTTGCGTCGCTTGTTGCGTAGACTGCAGTGCTGTGAGTGCTGTTGTGTCCGTCCAGAATGTAAGCGTGCTGTCTGCTGAGCCAGAGACAAGTTCCACCTTTGAGTCGGTCGCAGGATCCCTCTCTCCGTCATCTTCCTCCATGTTAGTCTCTTGCTGCGCCCGTTCTTCGGCATCCAGTACAGGCTCTGGCCGTACAGCTAGTGCCCACACTCGGTCAATGTGATTGTCCAATGTCGCAGCACACTCAGAGCTCTGAGCATCCCAGACCTTCACCAAGCCGTCACCAGCAGCACTTGCAACCTGAACCCCTCGATCGCCCTTCTGTTTCGGTGCTGGTAACCATACGACCTTTAGCACGCTGTTTGCATGTCCTTCAAACGTTCGCAAGCAGCTGTAGTCACTGAGATTCCAGATTTTCACGGTCTTGTCTCCACTTCCCGTAACCACCATACCTCTTGCCGTACTTGCTGCACCACCTTCGCCGGTTGTCGTCAGGGCAGGCACCGAGGGTGGAGAGAATGCAACGGTCCACACACCTCGCTTGTGTCCTCTGAGTACACCGATGGCTTCGCCGGATTCGACATGCCAGATCTTGACAGTGCGATCTTGTGATGCAGAGGCGAAGAGTGGAGTCGTGGTGGAGTACGAGGTCTCGATGGCATTAATGTCCTTGTCGTGAGCTTTCCTGGTGTATCCAGCTCGTGGAGCCTTGCCGGCTGAGGGTGAGATATCCCATCGTTTTATGGTCTTGTCTTGACTTCCTGTGACCAGGAACTTGGGTGGATAGTCGAGTGGACTCTCATATTCTTTCGATCCAACGGGAGGCGAGGCGTTGGGAAGTGCTACTGCGCCAATACTCTCAGCATGACCAGTGAATGTCGCAAAGCAACTGTACGAGTCGTTTTCTGGATCGAGTCGCCAAAGCTTCGCAGTGTTGTCTTTAGCTCCTGTTGCAAGCCAATGGCCTGACCAGTCGGTGTCTATGGTGATAATGATGTCGTCGTGTCCTTTGAGTAAGGCCACATCTGCGCCGAAGTATGGCGATGTCGAGCTTGATTCGCCAGCCCCAGCTTCGAGCGATATGATTCTGATGTCTTCGAGATTGGTCGCCAACGCCATCAAGTTTCGTCTCCTGCCGATGTATGCGAGATCAATGACTTCGTCATGAGTTCCGCTGATTCGTCGTATGACAGGTAGTGGTTCAATCCGTTTCGGGGTAGATTTATCGTCAGAAAGGGGCTCGATTGAGCGCAAGATCAGACTTTGATCTGCGTGAACTGTGAGCAGGAAGGATAGCCCGGGATAATATAGCACATCCAAGATGCTCTCGATTTCCGCGCCTGCTTCCTGGTCCTCGGTGATTTCGCTGCCATTGATCGTGCTCCATATCCTCAACCTTGCCGTCTCGCCACCAGTGCAAAAGAATTCTCCACTCTCGACGAAGCCAGCTGTCTCGATAGTCTCCAAAACAGCTACGGTCGATACGCCCTGCCATGTCCGAGAATCCCAAAGTATAGCAGTCTTGTCTCTGCTGGCTGAGAGCAGGACCTTCTTATGAGGAGAGTAATCCAGAGCTCTCACTACCGATACATGGGAATCAAGAAGCGCAACGCTCTTTCGTTTGTGCAGATCCCATATTCTGATCTTGCCGTCTTCGCCTCCAGACGCGAGTCGATAGCCTGCTGTTGCTTGGTTCTGAGCTTCTTCAGGTTCCTCATCCTGTTGCCGACTCTTTCGCTTCTTGCTCTTGGCAGGCTGCTGTTCCGCCTCTGGATCAACCTCGAAGAAGTGGAGAGCCGATATGACACCACTATGGCCGTGGAATGTGTGTGTCACAAAACCAGCGCGGATGTCCCACACTTTGATCTGTCCATCTGCTCCTCCAGTGGCTAACAGTGAACCCGTAGAGTCGACGGCGATGGTGACTACAGGCGTTGTGTGTGGCTTGAGCGTTCTGAGCAGATGCGGCTCATACTCCAGATCTTGGCCAGATTGTTGTAGCGCATATATGCGCATCGAAAGCGATCGCGAACATGCTATCAGGTACGATGCATCAGGCGTGATGCTCAGCGTAGTCAACGGTTCACCATCCTACCAACTTTGTCAATCGTCAGTTCGACGTTCGTGGTCGCATATCATTAAACTCACTCCTTCTATGCGTGCGAGATGTGCTCCGGTATTGAGGTCTGTGAGAAGGGCCTCCTCTCCCAATGTAGACGCAAGGATCCGGCCATTCTGACTGAGGGCAACACCGCCTCCAGTGTATATCGGTTGTATCACTCGGCTCGCTTCGAACGTCGTCTTGGTATCTGCCTTGTATGCCATCTTTCAAGTTTCTTGTTCTTCCTCACACGTTCGAGTCCATTTCGGCTTGTTTTGGTGCTTGAAGTCGCTGGTGGTATTCGCAGTCTGTGGTCTATTGTGATCGCGTAGACTTCAGGAATCGATCGAACTCCTCTTATCTTGGTTTCTGGTAAGGTGGTCGTGGTTCAATGTTCTTTTGGAAAAGTGGCAGTCGAAGTCTCGTGCAAATGCTCTGCGGCAACTTTTCTGCCACCGCCCTCGGCAAACCTGCCGTCACAGCACGACACGATCCGCGTCAGATGCGCTGCCTTCTGAGCTCCATCCACTGCTCGAAGCCCCCAAGAGAAACATCATCCAAACAATCAACAACCACACACCACCGCAACAATGTATGTCATGTATCCAGCTTGCTGTGACGCCTCAATACTAATAGAATCAACAGGGAGGTCTTACTTGGAATCACTGGCAAGGACTTCACCATCATCGCCGCCTCCAAAGCTGCGATGCGAGGCGCAACCATCCTCAAAGTCACCGACGACAAGACCCGTCCGCTCAACAAGCACACTCTGATGGCATACAGTGGAGAGGCTGGAGACACTGGTAGGTGAGATATGTGACGTTTCGACTCTCACGTGCTCATGATATCCAGTCCAATTCGCAGAATACATTCAAGCCAACGTCCAGTTGTACTCGATGCGAAACAGCACCGACCTTACTCCCTACGAGACCGCCTCCTTCGTCCGCAGTGAACTCGCCAAGTCCTTGCGATCACGCTCACCGTACACCGTCAACCTCCTCCTTGGCGGCTACGATCCTATCAAAGACAAGCCCGAACTCTACTGGATCGACTACCTCGCCTCGTGCGCCCCCGTCCCATACGCGGCCCACGGCTACGCACAATACTACTGCCTCAGTACGCTCGATAAGCATCACCATCCCGATATCAGTTTCGAGCAGGGTATGAAGATCTTGAGGATGTGCACGGATGAGCTGAAGAGGCGTTTACCGATTGACTTCAAGGGAGTGATCGTGAAGGTTGTGACCAAGGATGGCGTGAGGGAAGAGCCGTATGAGGATGACAAGCAGGTATATGCGCCCTGATGCGGATGGTAGGAAATGATGGATGCCATGAGCGCGCGGCGTTTGGGCGTTGGCAGCATATGCAGCTGGAGCGCTGCAAAGGAAGGGAATACTCGAGGCATGTACCATACCATGAAATTGACGCCTTGAACAAGCACTCTTCCCATCGAGCTGGTCTCGAAGTTCGAAGGCGGTGTTGGATGTGAAGACTGGTGGCCGTCTGATTCTAGCTGGACATCATGGTGATGAGCTTGCGCTGCCCATCTTCTTCGATCATGGCTTTAATCATTGCACTCTTCGGACTTCCAGCTTGCCCTCCACTCCTCCATCTAGCGCGATGAACTGTCCGCTCTCGACCTTCTTCGTCCACTTATTGCTTTCGTACGGCGCAGTGAAGATGGACATGCGTAAAGCAGGCGCGGCCAGACTGTCCTTTGCTGCATCACTCAAAGCCCACGTCCATCGCCCAAATGACCAATTCAGGATGTATCTCGCCTTCTGATCTGCTGGTGCGTCAGCGACAGTCGACCCATCCGGATTTCTAGGCGGTGACGATGCGTATAGAACAGCCTTAATCCTGTACACCTCGTCTTTCGGCGCCGCTTTCAGGAACGAGTCGAGTCTCCTGACATCCACTCCAGCATCCGATCCATCCGCCGTCAAAGTCACAGACAAGCACTCGATCTCCTGCGTGTGCTTATGCTCCCCTCCACCATGGTCATGATCGTGATCATGATGCCCATGCTCCCCCTCCTCCAACCAACTCCTCGCCATCTTCACATCAAACCCAAACAACAAGTCCTTCGAAATCGTCCCCTTATCACTCTTCACCTGCGGCGTCTCAACATCCAAATCCCCCAACCGATCCAGAAACGAATCCATCTCCCGCTCACTCAAACTCTCCCACTTATTCACCACAATCAGATCCGTCTGCTTGGCCTGCAACTTCGCCGTGAAACTCGTGCTCGCATACCCCTGCCAATTCTCCGCATCAATCACACTCACGATCCCATCGAGTTCATACCGTCCCGTCTCCTTCGCCAGCCGATTCACCTCCAGCACCAATTTCAACGGCTCCGCGCTCCCACTCGTTTCGATAATGATCCTGTCCGGGTGACTGTCCCTGTCCAGCGTGGCGAGTGCGTCTTCGACCTGTCCGACGTTCGTGCAGCATATGCAGTCGCCCAGGAGTTCTTGCGTTGCTGCCATCTCGGCGGAGGCTGCGAGTTGGGAGTCGACGGCTACATCTCCGATTTCGTTTTTGATCAGGGCGAGTTTGTAGCCCGGGTTTTCGGCGCGCAGTTGGGGGACGAGATTGAGGATGAGGGTGGTTTTGCCGGAGCCGGCGAAGCCGGTTATGATTGTTATGGGGATTCGGGGTTGTGAGGCGGACATTTTTGGCGTTGGTCTTGTTCTCTTGTTCTCTTGTGTGTTTTGGATGGTTCGTATTTGCTTTTCGTTGATCAAACTCGCCACGTGCAGCTAGGGATTATCTCGGTCCAGTAGGAGTCAGATAAGGTTTCCAGCATCGGCTGTCCTACGTTCTTGTCTATGTCTATCTTCGTTAATGTCGTTATTGAATACCGCCCGAACCTCAGTCAACTTTTTGATATCCCGACCTCGGATGGATCCTTCCTCATTCACGCTAGCGCAACTCAATCCCAACCTCTCTTCTTCTTCTCCTCCCAGTTCCTCTGCAGCTGTGCCAATGTCAATGACTGGTTCGCATCGGGCCTACTGCTGCAGTCTGCGGTATCTGCCATATTGCTGAGACGTGTCACGCTGGTCTTTCAGGTGATGTGGACGCCAATCGTTGTTGCGTCATGCCAAGTGGTGGCTGTGACTGGACCCAAGAGCTCTCCTGATCCAGATTTCAAGGCAGGCACGCGAGCATGCACGAGCTTGTGACGACCTATAGATTGCTCTCTTCTTCTTTTGCTTCTCTTGATTGTTCTTGACACTAACAAACAACTCACGTACTTCACCACCAAACACCACAGAACAGGTACCGCCAACCTGCTCCCTACCAATGCCTCATAGCTAACCGGTCCACGACAGAACCCTGAATCCTCAAGACATCACCATGGACTTCGTCAACAAGTTCACCGGCGGAGACAATTCCAACTCCAACAACCAGCAGCAATCCAGCGGCAGCGGCGAGCAGAAGGAGGGCGGAGGCTTCCTCGGCGGCATTACCAACAAGCTGAACTCAGCTGCCGGCGGCGGTAAAGAGAGCGAGAAGAACGAGGACTACTTGGACAAGGGTACGACATTACCCCAAGAGTTATGCCGACATATACTGATACGAGAGTGTAACTACAGGCATCGACTACGCCCAAGAGAAGTTCCTCGGCCAAGGTGCTCAGGACAACGAGTCGGCTGTTGAGCAGGCCAAGGACGAGCAGATCTCCGACTTCATTCGTGGACAGTACAAGAGCATGACCGGGAAGGATGTGCCCATCAAAGACAAGCCGACCTCGCTCGATAAGTCGGCCGACTAAGGGCAAGGGCTCGTGATTGCTGCACACTGGCGGAGTCAGATGGAGATATGAACATGAGACACATGATGAACAGCCTGGGGCTGTCTTACGATTTGCGTGACTGAGCTATGGTGCTCTAGCTACCAAGGCAGGTAGACCAACCAATTGACAGCGTGCACAAAAGTTCGTGTTCCTTCCATTTGGCCTTTCCTGTTCACTCTGTCTTGAGAACATCTGCGCTCACATCGAGCGACGATCTGATCAATCACCCTCGTCCTTCTGCTTCTTGTCGTTGGCCTTGAAGAGGATGCGCGACCCTTGAACAAGGCCCAGCTGAAGAATGTGTTAGTACCTTGCTACCTTGAGACCGACAGAACAAAACTCACCTCCTCAATGGTGCGTCCTGCATCCTCGACGTTTGCCACGCAGTACTGCTGGACGACGTCCTCTCTGCCCACGGCGACGACATCGATCAACATGCTCTGGATACCTGTCCCTGAAGCGGCTGCAATAGCTCTCGCCAGGTCATGAAGCTTGTGAACGTTGTTCACGCGGAAGTGGTTCTTCCAAGTGGTCTGGTTGCGACAGGTGGTAATGGTGAAGTCTGCTGGCTTTGAATGGGACGTGATGAGGGCTTTTTGCGAATGAATCATGGCGATGATTTCGCGGATGCTCTTCTGCGGAGCCTTGCTTGGGACGTTGTTGAGAATGTCGTCCAAGGCCTTGGTGGGCAGGTCGATGATGACTGTGGTGGTTCCGCCGTTGGTGTTGGGTTTCTTGCGTTTCTGATTGTTGCTGGCGCTGGATGAAGATCGGTAGGTCTTGTCATCATTGTCATCGTCCAGTTCGCCTGGTGCTTTGCGCTTTTTGCTGGCGCCAGAGGTTGGGCGTTGAGCTGGCATGGTGTTGGACATGAGTCAATGGGAGGTGAGTGAGGAGAGGAGGGAAGAGATTCGCAGCCAAATCATTAATTTCGTTCTCGCATCTGAAGCTAATCGCGTGTGAAGTCCACTTCACCCAAAAGCAACCTCACTTCACTCAATGCCGTTCCCGGCGAACTCTCATCCCTTATAAGGACCGAACACTTCCTCGAACAAAGCCTTTGGGATCTTGTAGCGGCCATCCTCCACCCAGAAGACAAGTCCCTCTTCGAGGCCACCCATCTACAAATTCATCAGTCGACTCTCAGTTCATCATGAAGAAGTTTTACTCACCTCCTGCAACGTGCCAAGCTTGTAAGGCTCTCGTGGATAACACTTGACCTCCATGTCGTTCCCGAAGGTGGTGCTGATCTCCTGGTCCTTCAGAGCCACTCCAAAAACATCCTCAGCCACTACCGCCAAGTCGTATAGCGTGTTCTGATTGCAGGCAAAGAGTGCACGTGTCTTGAACACGCCAGGGCCACAGAAGAACAAGGCGATTTTGAAAGTTCTCACAGCTTCTGTAGGCACTCTGAGAGGGGCGTCTTCTTGATGTATGGCGGTTGCGATGTCTCGAAGGCTTGATGCTGATGCTTTATCGGGGCCGTTCTTGAGTAGGTCGTTCAGGGCGTCTCTGGGTAACTTGACTGTGATGGTGCCGAGCTGGCGCTCGTCTGGCTTTCCGTTCTCCTTGGGCAGCTCTTGTTTGCCGCTCACACTGAGACCCGTGCCTGGTGCAGACTTCTTTCGCTGCTTTCCTTTCGGACGACGTGACGCCCATGGCTGAGCGGAATCTTCGTTGCGACCTGCCTCGTTTTGGGCTTCTTTTCTCTTCTTGAAGAAGATCTTCCCGTCGATCATAAGGATGGGTCCGATTTCCGAGTGTTTCATCATCTTGAGGTTTGTGCAGGGTGTGGCAGTAGCGGAGAACTGTAAGGAGTGTGAGTACAGAAGATGTATGGTGGTGGGAGCGCTGTGTCTGAGGAAAGAGGTCAAAATTTTTCCCACTGAGACGAAGGGAAGGAACGCCAAACAAGCGCGCTTGCCAGGGAAGGAGCATGTGAAAGCTCAAGCTCACTTCCCATCCCCCACCCAAAATCATTCATACACATCCTTATCATATACATCATACACACTGGTATCCGCAATCGATGAAACAATCTCAATCCTCCACGTAAAACTCCAACCCACCGAAAAAGGACTTCGACGACGGCGGCTGCTCTAGCCGGACACTTTCGTCAGCAACAGCAAGCTCGTCCTCATTCAACTTCTGCCACCGTTGAGTAGGCAGCCCCAAGAGCGAACGTATCCTCGGCCAGAGCAACGTCAACTTCGGCTTGTGCCACTTATCCAACCAAGGCCACTTTTGCAGAGGCCGGGTGAGATCGCCCAGGTTCTTGATTTGCAAGAACTTTGCAGTGTTTCCTAGAACCTGCAGACTGACGGCCTGACACGGATGTCCGAACTCTATCGCGATGCCGGCCAAGGTGAATGTGATCCACAAGATGCATGTTGGGTCGAGAACTTCAGTCAAGCCTTGCCAGTCATCGTTGGGTGGTATCTCCTCTTCTGTTGAAGGCAGAGCAGCAAGGCCATCAAGAAGGGACTGAGCTCGACGCAGGACAATAATGTAAGTCTCCATACGTTGCGGCGTCCAGAAACGGCCAAGGATCCAAGTCTGAAGCTGAATGCAAAGCAGGATCAGTTCGTTAACTTCACTGCTATGGTCTGATCCTTCGCTGGTCCGGACACCGTCTTGCATTGTGCGAAGAGAGTACTCGAGTCCATACAGTGCCCCAAATGGTATTTCACCAGCCTGATTAAGGGCATGCCAGGCAAGCCCGATCTCATGGAGAGACGAGAACATGTGAAAGCATACATTCGTGAATGTTTGGTCGGCGCCATTCCTTGGACCATGCTTGATGTTGGAAAGAGCAAGCTTGCGAGCGCGCGCACTTTGTCGAGCCATGGAAAAGGGGGGTTCGCGGAAGGCTGGAGGTATGTAATATGACAACGTCGGTCGTTGATTGCGAAGTAGTGCCAAGCGCAGATCGATCCAAGCAATATAAACCCATTCGTAGGGCGACCAGGAATCGGCAGCGGATAAGAGGGGCAGCGCCCGCAGGTGAGTCTCGGCAGCCTCGAAGTCGCCATCTCTCAAATCCGTGTAGGCCAGCAAGGCAATTGCGACAAGTGTCCGACCGTCATGGTGTGTACCGTCGCCAGGATTCTGTACGCGTGTCGAGATGAGACGAAGAATTCGATTCTTGGAGTCGAGAAACGTCTTCATACAAGCACAGTTCGCCTCTTTGTACCGTGCAAAGACGACAATGCTGTGGAACAGGATCTCATGACTTCGCGCCACGTTCCACAGCAGGTCCACCCACCGGTAAGCCGCTGCGGCATAGCATTGGGTGGAGGAGTCGATGAGCTGCTGATGGTACGCGTGGAGGTCCTCCTGGCTTGGTCCCGGCAATTGGCCAGCAATGTATGCAAGAGGAGCATCTGAGAAGCCGAGAGAAGGATTTCTGCAGATGGACCACTCCGGAGCTTTCTCTCGCCTCTGCCGTGACCTCGTGGCATGCAGGAGTATGCCACAATTTCTTTGCCGTTGGAGGCCTGACATCTGATTCGGCCCTCTCCCGTTCGCTGGTACGTTATGGATGACATCGTGCTCACTTTCCGCCTTTGGTGCCGTGGATGACCGTGATCGCTTGGTTCGTACCGGATAGGCCTTCATATGCATTGTGTTGGCAACATTGGTCGTACAGTCTTCCACGCCCAAGATATCAAGTCCATAATCAGCCATCGCCAGCGGAGTTGTTGTGAGTCAAGGAATCCCAATCAAACAGATCTGGACTTCAGCATTGCATTTTAGGGCAGATACACATCGACCTTTATCGGAGAATACACATCTACATCTATGTGAGTGGAGTCGACGCGGCTGAAGTGGTAACCACACGACGTAAGAGCGGGACGGGCCTACGATTTGATCTAGCCTTGTCAAGAAATCCGCTTTCAGCCAAGCAATGAGCTGAAGACAAGACGACGCCGGCCTGAAGTCTGTTGATGCTATATTCATTTAAGAACAAGCTAAGGAACCTTGTCCCCGGACTATCTTGCGGGAAGACATACCGAACTAACCATCTCAAGGAACGCAGGACAATTCTTTGTATTTATGTCCATGGTATGTACACAGCCAAGGGCCGTTGGAACTTCAGCTCAGGTCAGGCTGTGCCTCTTGGTACAGACGGCTTCAAAACGAGCTGAAAATATGACTTGGCTTCGCCACGAAGATCGATGTCAAAACGAGATGAAAAAGCATATATAAACCTCCTGCAGTGGCTTGAGATCCGAAATATCCATCCTCCATCGATCGAAACAACTTGCCAACCACTGCTCTTTCCGCGAAACTTCCTCGAATCAACTGGTCATCCATCAAACCATCTCAACACCACCCCATTGAAGATCTCCACCAACATGCCATCCCAAACCATCACCTTCGCCGCCCTCCTAGCCCTCAGCACCACCATCTCAGCTCAGGGCTTCACAATCGGCAACAGCGACATCAACTGCGACGGTACATCCCACATCCCCGTCCCCCCCAACAAGACTAACCAAGCCCCTCAGGCACCTCCCTCCAAGACTACTGCTGCCCCGGCTCCATCCTCTCCAGCGGCGACTACGGCAACAACAACAACGACGACGTCTCCGGCATCATCTGCTGCGTCGGCGATCCAGACCAGGGGTTCAACAATATCGGCGGCGTGACGACTTGTTCGGCGGGCACGGCGACGCTTTTGACGGCGGTTTCGGGGGCTGCGACGGGGGCTGCTACGGCGACGTCTTCACCTGCTTCGAGCACGGAGAGTGGTGTTGCTGCGGAGACGACGTCTTCGGATGCTGAGAGTAGTGAGGCTGCGACGAGCACTGCTGGGACAACGAGTAGTGCGGGATCTACGAGCAGTGGTATGGCGACGAGCACGACTGCAGGTGGAGCTGCGGCGACGACGAGTTCCGCGAGCGTTGCGGCTCAGAGCTCATCTTCTTCTTCGTCGTCGTCGGCGGGAGCTGCGAAGGCGATTGTGACTGGTGCCCCGATTTTGGGTGGTGCTGCGCTGGGGATGTTGGCTTTGCTTTGAGCGTTGCGTGGATTGTGAGCATTTTGTGAGAGAGAATTTCTGTGCATATTTAGTGTAATCTTGTGAATATTCATGCGTCAGATTGGAATGCCATAGTTCTACTCCAGCTGTTCAGGTTGTGGAAGTCACAGGCGTTGTCTAAATCTGTCTTATTCTCGCACGACTCCAGAAACGACGTCTCTCACTCTTGCATCCCTTCAAGATTCATGATTGCTTTTACATTTGCTGTAGCTTCGCTACCCTGTGCCTAATCCAGTCCGCTCGAGAATCGTCCCCCGAACACCTTCCACCTCATCAATCACTCCTCCTCCCCATCCCTCCTCCCCAACACCTCACCTTCCCCATCATCAGCCCCCAAAACCCACCTAACCCCCTCAACCACAAACCCCGGCCTAACCATATGCACATAATGCCCACTCCCCTCGACAAAAACCCACCTCGCCTTCGTCGACAACCCCAACATGCCCCTCTGCATCCCCTCCTCCAACCCATTTGCCTCCCGAATAAACGCGCTCATCGCCTTCCGTTCCTCCTCGCTACCGTTCCCCGCCGCAACACCCGCGTCGTAGATTCTCTGGAGGTCGAGGGCGTAGTTCGCGTGCAGGACCACGATGGGGTGGTCGCCTAGCAGAGGCGGGGACAGGGTGGTTTGGTTTTTGAGCGCGAGAGTCCGTCCACTCCCATGGTAGAATTCCAGCTCTCGTCGTCCCGCCACGGCATTCCGTTCGCTGTCCTCCTCGCGCATTAAAACCTTCCACTCCCCTTCACTTAGTTGATGCTCCGCACCAATCGTAACCTCCAACCCGTTCAACCCCTTCCCCAGCGCCTGCACCGCCGCGTTCGGATACGTGGAGGGTGTCTCCTCGGTATTCGCATCCACAAACACCACGCCCACGACATCCCCCTCCCCAGCCCCTCTCCGATGAACAAACTCCCTCGCCACAATCCCCCCAAACGAATGCGCGACCAGCACAAACGGGCCTTCCACACCCACTGCCTTTAACAACTCATCCAACTCAAGCGCGATATTCTCCGCGCTAGGATCTCGAGGCGAGATTTCGCTCTCCCCGAAGCCGGAGCGGTCGTACGAGAAGACTCTCGCGAACTGTGAGATTTCTCGGATCACGACAGGCCATTCGGCCGTGCTGGAGGCGAGGCCTTGGAGGATGAGGACTACGGGTTGGTTGGGGGATCGTGGGGGGCCGGAGACGGTGAGGGAGAGGTGATGTGTTCGTAGCGAGATGGGGGAGGTGCGAGGGGGGCAGGTGTTCCAGTTGATTTGGGTGGCCATGGTGAGTGTGAGTGGTGATGTCTTGGGTGGGTAGAAAGGCGTCTCGACTTTCACTTTCTCCTCCTGCGGTTTGTCGATCTCTGAATATCGTCCAAGTCGTCGAGCCTTCCCTTCAACCCTCCAACTTCCAATACTCCAGAAGCCAAACACAAAAACAGTATGACAAACCTCACACACGCCCTTCAACAATGTCAACAAACCCCAACAACAAATCCCTAGCCCCTCATCGGCAATTGTCGATCTCCCCTGGACTAGTCAGTTGGCTGAATAATAGAAAACCCAACATCACAGCCCTAGAGACTGGAAAATAGCGTGATTCGTGGTTTAGTTAGTTAGCACGAGCTGAAGTCGTTGACTAGTGCAGGGCGGCCGCGATACCGAAAGGAGTAATCCTTTCTGTTCCTGCTTCTTTCGGCACGGACAGTCTCTCTTCTTGGGGATATGAAGCTCCATGGAGATTCCAGTCTGCATATTCAGAAGCAGAGGATGTACATCCAAGTCCATGTCCAACTTCATTACTCAGGTACATGTATGTGATGTGTAGCCATATGTGCAAGTTTGTTTTACACACTATGTGCCTCTTCCTCCCCCTGTCCGCTTTACCCCTCCTCTCTTCACTCTTCATGCCTCTGCGATTAGCAGCATTAGCATTAGCCTCCCAATCACCACCACCAACAACCACTACCCTTTCCCTTTCCCTTCTCCAACCCAACCAAACCAATAAAGGCAGATATATGTGCCCGCTATGCCAAACAAACCAAAACAAACCAAAGCCCTCCAATCCCAACCCCAATCCTGTACGGTGTATGCATCCCATCCAAAGGACCGCTAATAATGTAACCAACAACAAACAAAACGTCGCGCCCAGCGCCACACCACCTCCAAAACACAAAAAATGTACAGACTCCTTTCTTCACTTCTTGTATCGTCGTATTCACATTTCGGGTCCCCGGAGTTGCCGTATGTATGAACTTCTGTACAACTCGGCACACCGGGTGTCTCCAAGTACTCGCATTCGCAAACGCATTCATATCCAGAAGAAAGGTTCGAACCGACTCAGGGCGGGAGGACCAAACTTCCCATCATGGCAGCGGTCATTCTATGCAACAGCGACCGGCTCCGCAGTCACAGCCATGGCACCAGTCGAAGGGAGTCTTTCTCGAGAACGCATAGCGTCGACTTTGCCGGCTTCGCGTACCGCGTCGAGGAAGTCGTCTTCTTTGCCGACGTCCCATCTTTCTTCGTTCTGCCAGCCGACTAAGCTGAGGATCTCCTCTTTGCTGCCGTACAGCTTGCTCTCCAACCGCCCAAGACACGCCACCGCAGCCCTGACCAGCGTCTTGTCGCCCTCGAAGACGAACACGTCGATTATCCTCGAGACGTGCTCGTGCGAGAGGTGGTACGCGAACAGACACCTGAACATCGGATCCAGGAATTCTTCCGGCGCGAGGCCGATCGCTGGGTTGGTGAGGTGGTCGTGTAGTCTCGTAAACTTGTACTTGAGGGTGGAGAGGCAGTATTTGTACGTCCTTGCCATGGCAACCTGGTTGTGGACGAGGAAGGCGAGGGGTAGCGGTCGATTGAGCATGTTGGCCAGAAGAACGAACGCTTGCGGAGGATGGAGGTGAAGGCATATCACTCCAGCAATGAGGTGGGTCCCATAAACGTAACCGACATCGCTGCGGTACATGGCAAAGGCGCGGAGGACGTTCGTAAGAGATCGATGAAGAGGCGCGTCGTGCTGGTACATTCGCAGTTCGGGGTAGACATTGGGGACATCGCGGTCGATGGCATCCAGCCAAGCAGCTTCCTTGCTGTGGGAGCGTTCTTCATCCGGCATTTCGGCAATCTTCTCTTCCAGGTCATTCGCACGAGCAAGAGCCGCCTCAAAGGACGTAGCAGACAGCTCCAGCTCATTGCCCACGGCCTTTTGCCAGACTTCGCCTCGACTTCTGGGAGTCACACCTCTCCACCAAAGCTCTCGTGTCCTGGGCTCTTTCACCACCGCTTCCCAATTGGGTATGACATGCTGATCCCATATCCTCGCAATACTGCCCTGCATCTCCTCACGGTTTTCTCTACTGGCTTGCTCTTTCAATGCCCTCTTCTTCTCCGCCTCAGCCGCTCGCGCCATCATCTGCTGAAACTCTCTCAAATGCTTCCTTTCCTCTTTCTGACTCTTCGGCGGTAGCCAAGAAGGCCTTGTCCTGGTAAGCACAGCCTCTTTCTCCTTGCTGATCGGCAGAGGATCGATCATGATATTGCCTTTCTGTACAGGTGGCACTGTCGGCAGGCTGGGCACCTCTTTGATCGAAGTCGTCGTAGCGCTCTTGGTCAAAGCCGGTCTGGGCGGACTGCTAGAAGGTGTATTCGACCCTGAATGCCTCTTTTCAATGGAGACCTTCTCAGCATACTCTTCCAGCGCCTGTGAAAGCTGTCTCGCCTCCTGATTCAGATCCTCAGTCCACGACTTGCTCCTATGCTTGAGGCTGAGAGGCTCCCCTGCGGAAAAAGCAGAAACTGTGTTACTATGCGGCATCGTCTGCGGCCGACCGTGTCTGGGTGATCTCGGCGAGTTGTAGTGACCCGTGGGTAACGATGGTCGTTTCGCTTGCTTAGGAATATTGGCCGAATGTAGATTCGCATGAGGTGATCTTCGGTGCGGACTAGGCGTGGCCGAGCGCACGCTCATGGTCGTTGGTGATTTGAAAGAATGGTGTTGTCCAGGCATTGGCGAGATGGGCACATTCTCGAGAATGGCCTCATCTGGCACTTCCTCATCTTCGTCATTATACTCCGCCTCCAGCTCTTGAACAGTCTTCCTCCCAGGCTGCCACGACGGCCGCCTTTGCATCGACTCCTTGGCTGTCTCATGCGAGGCTTTGGGCGTAGCGCTAGCCAATGTTTGTGGAGAAACAGAATACCCGTTCTGCGTGAATGGCTTATTCGGCGAGGGCGATCGGGAGGAGGCCCGCTGTATGAAAGGCGAGACAGGACTAGTCACCGCGCGCTGCATGCTGCGATCATTGGGTAGGTTCAGCGACTGGTCGCGTAGAACGCCATTGACCGCTCCTTGCAAACTGGGATATCTCTGCTGTCGTGAACCATTGGGCAGTGCGCGAAGTGGAGAGCGCTGGGGCGAGGTTCCACCTCTCGTCCGCGGGAGAGTCGAAATATCACTCGTCGTCAACGACTTGGGCGGCGGTCTCCTCAGCGTCGGCCTGCTGTCGGGAGGTAGATTGCAATCCTCGCCCGAATCCCTCCCGCCATCTTCCAGCGCAACATCCTCAAAGTGGCCCTCCTTGGACGTCAACCCAGCATCCGACAAATCCTCACTCGAACCAATCGACGACGAGCTCTTGGAACTCTTCGAATAGCTCAATTCCGGCGGCGAAGACGGGATGCACGCCTCGTCATTCACGCTCTCCACCGAGACATTCGCCATGATCTTGTCCGTCGGCAGACTCAGGCTCCGCAACAGCCCTCTCCCGCCAGACACGACCACACTCTCCGGCAGGTCAATCCCATGCACGACCGCCGAATCCGCTCGATTTGCTCTCGTCTTGTTGTGGTGCAGGCCAATCGATCTCCTCTTCCCGCCCGACATCAGCGCGCGCCAAAAGCCATACTCGGGGGCCGCAGAAGGGGAGGTATCAATAGTGTGTGCGTCCGTGAAGTCGTCGGGGGAGGCGGGGGTGTCGGCGAGGGCGGCGGTGGTGACGACAAAAGGAGAGGAGTGGTTGTTGTTTTTGTAGAGAGTGTTGTTGTCCTTCGACGTCGCTCCGGACCAGGGGCGCTCCGGACCAGGGGAGTCGCGCGGGCTGAAGAACCGCAGGCATCATTCGCAGCTTCCTTCACAATTCGATTTGATTAACGACCCCCGTCGACAGCCAGGGGAGCGTCTCCACCGGGCGCGCCGTCCAGCCAATCAGAGGGCGCAAATGGGTGGTTCTTCGATGGTTCTTCGCCGTTGATGCGCCGGCAAGCCAGCAACTGTTCTGCCCGGTGCACGTTGTTGAAGGTACCGCCAGACACGACAAAGTGATGGTTAAGAATGAAGTTGCGATACCAGCGTCACCGGCCAGCCGTGAACAGGCGTTGAAATCGTGGTTGGAAGTTCCAACAACCGGGACAGCCGCTCTTCCTTGTGGCTGGGACGCGGTGCAGCTTGTCGGACACCAGCGCCAGCCGGATCGAATCGATGACACGAACTAGCCGCACTCACTCAACGAACGACGGCACTGCACGGCGTCTCGCCAGTACGATATGAAAAGAAAGAGAGAAAGGTGATAGTGCAATGCTTCATATCAATCTATGCGGCTCAACAGAGCTCTGCTTGCTGGCCTGCATGCTCTTGGTGGGATGGACCAGCTGCAAGTTGCTTATCGACGATCGACTCTGATGCAGACCAGAGGGCGGAGAACGTGGAGCTGCTCACCCTCTTGCATCAAAGGAACAAAGAGAGCGGCCTGGCCAAGACCGACTCCTCCACACCCAATGCTCGCAGTCAGCACTACTATGCGCCTTCGATCAATCTTCGTGCCTGGTGCCTGTCATCAACTGCGGTGGTGTTGTGTTGTGCTGGCCGTGCAGTTCGCGCCTGTCTGTGTGTGCAACCGCATCCGCGACGACACGGCAACATCCCAGTCCATCGCCGCGCGCAGAACAGATCATAAGAATTCCAGAACGTCGCCATCCCTGTCGTCAATCATCGAGTTTTCATTCGCCAAGCACAGCCTCGAGCAATCTCCGCTCTTCCCTCCGCACATGCAATCCCAGCAATTGCTGTTCGAGATATGCCAACAGCACGCGGTACTTCGTCTGTCGTCTGCGAAAGACGGCGAGGAAAGCGTTGCATGCAAGCCTGGTGCGTCATGGGACGTTAGCCAAGCCGTTCAGAAAACCGTTTGGAACGCCATACGAAGTTTGACAGTGAGGTGATGGCGTCGTGCTCTCTGCCCTGTTTTTCGCAGAGGGAAAAAGTGCCCCAAGCGCGCGCTTCCTACCCAAAATGTGCTGCTGAAACAAGATGCGGCTGCACGGGAGAGAATCCTGCCATCTCCTAGCTGCAGGATCACAAGCAAATCATGCTCGTTTCCTGGTTGGTTGAACTGCTACGTGCATCCGAGCTGAGACACCGTCTGTCTGCGATGGCGAGGGAAGAACGAAGGAATAGGAGATGAGAGCGTGCACTTACCACCGCGCCTGGGTGTTCGTCACACAGCACTCATATCGCTGCACGTCTTTGCTGTTCAGTTTGCGATGCCGCATGAGCATGCATGCCAGTTTGATGGTGTCGTCGACCGCTTCTGTACTTCGAATCAGTATCGTGAAGGATTAGGTTCAATACGCCCCACTCGCAAAACATCTTTTCTGCACGTCAAGCGCAAGCGCCGAGCAAATCAAGCGCTAGATATTTCTTGATTGCCGCATTGGGAAGGAATTGTCTTTGGATGATGTGTTGGATCGAATCACTTACTTATCATCAACTTGCTCGCCGGCTGTTGGCCAAATGGAAGTGACTTCACGTAGTGGTAGCTCTTCTGGGCGACCTCTGTGAAGGTGTGGTAGAGGTTGGAGAGGACCGTCTCGAGGCTATTGTAAGAGGTCGACAGCAACATGGCATGCATCTGCAGCTTCAGGGCGCTGGCCGCTCGTTAGTGAATTGATAACAGTACAGTATCGCATCCACTCACTTCAAAGTCTTCCTGTAGAAGCTCTGTCCTGGCAACTTGGAGTACTCGACAGTCACCGCATCAGCGATATCTGCAACTCGATCAGCACAACTCTCACTTCTTTGCAAGGACCAACTCACTGCTCTTGCGTCGTCTTTCCTTATCTTTGGCTAAATCTAGAGTTTCGGTGTCGATCGCATTGCCGCAGTATGGGAAGTCACGATCAGTCAATTTCAGGATACTCTGCCCGCGAATGTCGATGTCGAAGTTCGCTCGACTCTTCTCGGCCTTCACATTGACGCCGTACTCGGGAATTCCTGCATGCATCGTCCTCATGAACCTCTCAACGACGCTACGCTCAGTGCTGATGACAAGAAAGTCATCGATGAGACGCAGCAACAGGCTCTTGTCGTCAATGAAGCCCAGGTATTCTCGTTCGAGCTCAGCGTAGAAGTAGCTGCACAATAAGCTGGACACGATCGAGCCTTGCGGGATGCCCTTCTTCTGCCGATAGAAGCGCTTGCCGACTTTGATGAGGTTTGATTGAACATGCTCTTCCAGAAGAGACAGCACCATCTGCTTCGTCTCACGTCGCTGATTGATGCCGTTGACATAGACTGTTCCCTTGCGACCTTGCACGACGTCTGTGTCGACTTCTCCTTGAAAGTCGAAGTGCTGATCATTCGCAACGGCCTTGGTCAAGAACTTCCACGACGGCTTCGCACCAAATCCTGGGGTGTCTTTGTTGTGACCACCAGCGAGCTTGGCTCTGGAGTATTTGGCCACTTGATACTGGTCGCCGCTGATGATCTTCTGCATCAGCTGCAGCAATCGCTCTTGCGGGATCGTGTCGAAGCAGGCCTGAACGTCGACCTTGGCGAAGTAGAGCCGCTTGTCATTGAGGCCTCTCTGGACAAGAGTCTGCCGGTAGGTCTGCAACCGTGGAAAGATGTCGTCGACTGAGAAGAGAGCCGAGCCCAGCACCCTTGGATTTGCGGCCTTCTCGAAGTTCAGTACGCTGAATGCCGGCGTCATGAGGCTGTTGATGCTCCTCCCCAACACCATCTTGCCTCGCTGGAGTTTCTGCACACGTCTTCTGAGATTGATGATCGGCCGCATACCATGCTCCTTTGGCAGCATGCGAACATGGCTCACTCCAAGCGCTCGTCTTGCCAGCAGCTCATTCACGGCCGCAGGACTGCACTCTTCCAACATGGAATCCTTGAGCTCGTTTAGTGCGGGCTCTGACATCTCTTTCCAGACATCGTGCCGAAAGTAAAAGAGCTGATTTCGATGTACGTTGAATTCGGTGACGTGGAAGTGGCCGCGGATGAGTGGGATCAAGAAGGAGTCGAAAAGATAGTAGAGAAGCTCTGCCATCAGTTCTTTGCGTTTGGCGTAGTCCGTTTTGCTAAGGCTGTGTCCTGCATCCAGTTTGGGCGACCTGAGCCAAGCCACATCGTGGAGTTTCATGCCTTGCAAAACATCATGCAAGCTCATGCTCTCAAAGCGCCTCAAACGAACGAAGCGATCGATGTTCTGGTACACTTTGCGGGTGTTGTAGATTCCTGTCTCACCATCTCCCCACAATGCTTTGGGAAAGACTCTCGAGACTGCTGCTCGACAAAAAGCGGATACATTGCTTTCGTCAGAGGCCCGCTGAATCGAAGCATTCGTTGAGGCATCATCGGGGTTCGGTCCTGGGCAGTAATGCTCTAGAATGGCGAAGTAGGAGCACTTCAAGTGGCGCTTTCGTAGTCGTTTGATCAGCTCTTGGATCACCCCTCGCAGCCTTTTCGGCGTTGAAGGGAATTTGCTTGCCTCCTTGACGTTGGACCGAGACTTTCGCTGGCGTGTGATCTCCTGTTCTCGAAGCATGTAATCCTTGAATGGATCCGTCGTGTCCTTGCTGTCCACGTTTGATTGAAGTACATTATGAAGTCCAAACTGAGCTGGGAACATGTACTTCAAGACATGCACAGTCTCTTCAGCACTTTCCACATCGCGGCAGCGATTCAAGATATGAATCTGGTTGAGACCGAATCGTGTACCACCTCGAGCATTCAACGCCGCTCTGGCGTAGAGCATTCGATGTCGTACGAAGCGGATGTCCGTCAGTCCACGTTTGCTATGTCCATTGTGATCTCGTCCCGCATGCATATTGTCCAGTTGTTCCGTGGTTTGCACTGGTTTCAACATTGGAAGGTCGCACATTGGGATTCCACTAAGCTGAACCAGATTACTGCTGCCGCCGACAGGAGTAAACACGCTGCAGTCCATCAACAAATCCCCCATGATTCTCTCAGAGCCCTTGCCCAGCAGGTCAGGAATTGTAGTCCACGGATGACTTCTGAGAGTCTCGACGTGTTCATTCGGTCCCACAGAGTATATGCCCGGTATGCCTGGCACTATCTCCGGCTCGGAGCCATAGTTGTGCTCGGTGACGTATCTTTGGAAGTTCTGGCAGAGGATATGCTTAGGCCTTTGCGCTCCGAGAGATCGGCGAAACAGTAGCCATATCACGAAGTCGACAATCTACAACTATCAGTTCTGCTATCCGTGTCGGAATGGGTCCAAAGTTGAGGTGAGGCATCCTACCTCAGGCTGCTTGAACGACCCAGGCGTCAACGCAATCGACGACTCGGAATGCGTCAATTGTTGAGTGAAGATGGCGAGATCCTCCTCAACAAAGGTGCTATCCTCGACCTGAACATGTCCAAAATTGCCAATCAAAGTCGTGTCGAGCAAATGGCAAATACCATCCTCTCCTTTCGTATGACCATATTGCTGAAGTCGCTTCCTCCGTTTCTTGGAGAGACGCGACGCGAGGTATTGGCGTAGAGTGACAACTTGCCGGTAGTACTTCTGCAGCAGTGGTGATGAAGGCCGTGGCGCTGTAGCGTTGTTTGGCTTCTGTTTCTTGATGGAGGAGGCACTCTGCCGGGTTGATCGCTTTCGCTTCATGATAGGGACATTGTTGGTGGTCGGTGTCGTTGCGAGGAGCAAGCTCGCTTAAATCCGAGGTCAATTCGCGTCGCGGTAAAGCCGCGCTAGCACGTGACATTGCGAACTCCTTCCCCAATGCATCGTCCACCAACGTCGTCCGTCTCTTGCACATCAACACACCTCGATGACCCAACGGACGAAAGCAGCTACCGATCCATGATGTCGTCGATGATGAACTCCAATGCCCCAATCCCCCGCGTCGTGGAAACGCTTGTGGACACCTGCGCTGGCGACATTGAAGGTACTCTGGAGAGAGCACTTCGATATGGAAGTCGCATGGAACCGAAGACCATGTGGCTCGACCACGCAGATATCGCCCGCCTGATCGAGAATGCATAGACTACCTGTGCCGCACACGATAACACTTTTCAGCACCATCCCAATGCTCTTGCCCTAGGCACGACGCATGTATGCGTGCATTAGCCTGCCCTGATCAGTGTACGTGCAGCTGCGTCTGCAAGCATATCTGGCAGTCAGTCGCTTTCGGGCTTGCTCGAATACGGCGTGATTGATGCAGGTGCTGCTGCCCTTCGGTCCTTCGGTTCCGGTGGCTGCTTGCACGTTGCTACCCTGTCAGGAGGCCCATCCTTGTTTGTTGCACAACGTCAGACAAACAACACTTCGAGTGTATTTGTCCAGCTCACACAAGCAACTCGTCGACCGTCTCCCTCTTGCATCACATCGACAAAGCTAACCGGCGATCCAGTGACACTTCCATTGCAACAGTGCCCAATCCGGATACTGCTTTGGAACCTTGTCACTGAATTCAGTCTCGGATTGGAAGTCACAGCGCCAGCCTTACCTGCCAACGACACCCACGGACTTTTCGGAAGATCAGACCGGTCGTCCCCAAACCCAAGTCTTTTGCGCGGGCCAATCGAAGTTACTCGTTTCTAAGGTCGCAGCTCGGTTCCCACCAAAAGTTTATCGGTTCATCAGGAATACGTGGGGTGCTTGACGCTCAATCAGACTCACGATATATCACCTCGTGGCCCTTGGACGTGTGCTTGCCAACACTACTTGTACAGCTGTCAACGAATGCCAGGTCGGGTGACCGGGGTGGCGCACGCAAGGGGTAAAGCATCCAGCCAAGTCGACTCGAACCCTCCACATCAGAGTGCCATCTAAATTCAAATTGTGACTATCAGAACCTCGCCAGAACTGTCTACCTCGCAAAGCAGGTGTATCTGAACGACTCCAGAGATCTGGCCACTACGAAGATGACTGGCGGAACGGAAACCAATACCAAAAGCTCCAATGCCGCGCCATGTTCATTGAAGAGCTACGGACAACACCTCCAATGGGTTTGGCAACATCATCAAATGCTCCGGCGTCTGACCATGGGACATGAAAACGATGCAGTGGTGACAATTAGCGGCGACAAGTTGACCATTGCCGACTTGATCGCTGCTTCACGGTGCGTATCGAAGGCCTCTACTGGCGAAGGGTCGGCTGACGTACTATAGACACGAGGTGAGATGCCGTATCACCAAAGACAAGTCAGTCCTCGACAAGGTCGACGCCAGCGTGAACTTCCTCGCTCAACAGCTGGAAAAAGGGACACCAATATATGGTATGCTGTGCTCTCTTTTCCGCTTCCAACCTCCTCCCGCTGACTTTGTTTCAGGAATCAACACTGGCTTTGGCGGATCCGCGGACACGCGAACTTCACAAACTATTGACTTGCAAAAGGCGCTCGTCCAGCTTCTTCAGACAGGCATTCTCCTGCCATCTGATGTTGGAATGCATGATGGCGGAGATTCAGAGGCAATTGCATCTCTGAATAGACACTCGCTACCCAGGAGCGCGGTTAGAGGAGCCATGCTTGGACGATGCAACTCTTTACTGCGTGGACACTCTGCAGTACGGCGAGAAGTCATCGAGACTTTGATGCACATGCTCAACCTCGACCTCATCCCCGTGGTGCCACTCCGCGGATCGATATCGGCTTCTGGAGATCTCATGCCACTTGCATACATTGCCGGCGCAATAGAGGGAAATCCAGGCATTCACGTCAGCTGTCCAGCCAAAGACGGACGCAAGATATTGCCATCGAACGAGGCACTTCAGTATGCGGGTATCGCGCCTTTGACTCTTGGACCGAAAGAAGGCCTTGGTATTGCCAATGGGACCATTGTCAGCGGTACTGTAGCCATGCTGGGGTTTCACGAGACTCAATACCTCGCGCTCTTGGCGCAAGCTTTGACCGGCATGTGTACTGAAGCAATGCGTGGCACTATCGATAACCATCATCCATTCATCGCAACGGTCAGACCTCACTCTGGCCAGATCGAAGCTGCGGAAAACATAACGAGATTCTTCAGGGGCTCGAGACTTGCCACTAGCCACCTTTCAGGCGCGAAGACAAACGGACTAGCACAAGATCGGTATGCACTCAGAACGGCCTCTCAGTGGATGGGGCCATACCTTGAAGATCTTCAGCTTGCAGCACAGCAACTTGAAACTGAACTAAACTCCACGACCGACAACCCACTCATCGATGTCAAAAATGGCCATGTCCACCACGGTGGCAACTTCCAAGCGACCTCTGTCACATCAGCTACCGAGAAGACCCGCCTTAGCCTGCAAATGCTGGGCAAGCTGATGTTTGCGCAAAGCTCCGAGTTGATCAACCCCATGATGAACGGCGACCTACCTCCTAACCTCAGCTTTGACGATCCAAGTCTATCATTCACGTTCAAGGGTATCGACATCAACATGGCGGCGTACATGTCAGAGCTGGGGTTTCTCGCGAATCCTGTCAGCTCGCACGTCCAGTCAGCCGAGATGAACAATCAGGCTATCAATTCCCTCGCATTGATCTCGGCTCGGTACACACTTGATGCTGTCGAAATTGTCTCGATGATGGCTGCCTCACATCTATATGCCTGCTGTCAAGCGCTCGACCTCCAAGCAATGCACGATCAACTCACAGAAAGAATTCGATCGGCTACTGAGAAGACCATGCGGGGCTTGTTCCAGTCGCTTCTCGACGGAAATGAACTGGACGCGATTGTGTCGATAGCCTTCGAGGCAATTGCTCGTGGGCTCAAGGAGGCGAAAAGTAAGGACATCCAACAGCAGTCCGCCGCCGCCGCAGATTCTACAATCGCTCCCTTGTTCGCTGTTTTCTCCAAAGTCGATAAGTCAGATGAAGCAAAGGGCAAGCTCTTTACCTCAATCGCAGTCTGGAAGGAACAATGCTCAAAACTCGTTGCGGACTCAATCGTGTACACACGGCGACTCTTCACGTCCGGAGCCAGCGCAATCACTCGTGTCTACTTAAGCCACGGTTCGAAGAAGCTGTACGAATTTGTGCGCGACGACCTCCGAGTCCCGCTTCACAAGGGGCTTGTCGAGCATCCAACGGCAGATAGACCGAGCCCTGAAGGCATACAGGTGGCAGCGAACAGCAGATATATCATCGGCAAGCAGGTCAGTGTCATCTATCAGGCGTTGCGGAGCGGCAGGATCCACAACGTCCTGGTTGAGAGCTTGCTATGAGTGACAGCATCCAGTTCACATTGCGGCTTTGCGGTATGATTACCAGCTTATGTATGTTAACAGAACATCAATATAAAATAGAAGGATAGAAAGCATAAATACATGTAAACATACGTGAGTTAGCTCCAAGCCGCCGGGCTGCGATGTCACAGATCCGCTTGGCGCCACAACTTGCAGCGATTACTGATCGAACTGTTCGCGCCTCCGACTCTGGCCTGCTACGCAATATGAACGCAATATGATTTTGGTACCTGAGAGATCATCTCATCAACCTAGATCCGGAATGGAGTTCCGGCAATGACTTTCCAACTCCGTATTCAACCTTATGGAGATGTGCTTGATAGCCTCCTTTCTTGTCCAACTTACTAATGTATCTATCAACACGTTGATGGTGTGCTACGCCAAGCATGCCTGCCGGCCTTCAAAAGGCCTTTGAAGTGGCACTTCACCACATTGTACACGCTAACCTTCTGACAACTAGCTAGCCCCAGCAACAATGGACGAAAAAGACGACATCCAAGCCGACAAGGCTCCCTTCCCCTCCGCCAACGACCACGACCACGACCACGGCCACGATACCATCTTCAACCATGACGACCCCGAAACAAACCCACCACCACCGCAACTCTCCCAATCCATCTCCATAGCCGCCTCCCTCCAAACCCAACCCAAACGCCAACTCGCCATCATGATCTTCGTCAACCTCGCCCAACTAATCCAAATGTACCCCTACGGCTCCGGCATCTCCTCCGCCGTCTCCATCGCCACCTCCCTCTACTACAACGTCCAAACCTCCACGCAGATCATCCCGCCCGAGGCGGAGGCCCAGATCACCCACGACGCCGCCTGGATCGCCGCCGCATACCCGCTCACGCAAGGAACGTTTGTCCTCATGGGCGGGCGGTTGGGCGAGGTGTACGGACATAAAACGGTTTTGATGGGCGCGTGCGCGTGGTGGTTGGTCTGGAATCTCGTCGCGGGGTTCGCGCCGGGTGTGATTACGCTGTGCGTCTTTAGAGGCCTTTCGGGGATTGGAGGCGGGCTTATCACGCCGAATGCGGTGGCTTTGCTGGGGGTGACGTTTCCGCCGGGCAGGAAGAGGAATCTCGCTATGGGGTTGTTTGGGGCGATGGCGCCCGTGGGCGCGGCGGGCGCGAGTGTCGTGGCGCCGTTGTTGGTTCAGTTGACGGAGTGGAAGTGGGCGTTTTTTCTGATTGTGATTGTTGGGGTGGTGGTTTTCTCTTTGATGGTGGTGAGCTTGCCGTGGGATCGGCCTGTTGATGGGGGTGGGAAGATTGATTGGGTTGGGGCGTATTTGGGGGTGGGAGGGTTGATTTTGTTCAATTTTGTGTGGAAGTGAGTGTGAAGCATCCTTCCCCTTTTCCAAAGCCTGATCGATTCGAACTAACACAACCAAAAGCCAAGCCCCCGGAGTCGGCTGGACAGAACCCTACATCTACATCCTCCTCATCGTCTCCCTCCTGCACCTCGCCGCCTTCCTCCTCTGGGAAGCCAAATTCGCCCCCTCCCCCATCCTCCCCTTCTCCATCTGGAAAGCGCCCTCCTTCAAACTCATGCTCCTCATCGTCTTCTTCTCCTTCATGTCCATGGGCATCTTCCTGTGGTACTTCTCGCTGATCGGCCTCAACATCCGGCACTACTCCATCATCGAGAACGGCGCCAACTACCAGCCCCTCACCGTCCTCGGCACCGCCGCCGCCTTCCTGTCCGCCTGGCTCATCCCGCGCCTCCCCGCGCAGTACATCATCGCCATCGGCAACGTCGCCCTCATCATCTGCAACGTCCTGCTGGCCACCACCCCGCGGCATCAGACGTACTGGGCGATGATGTTCCCCGCCATCATCTGCGCGGCGTTCACGGTCGATTTCATCTTCGCGGCCTCGCAGATCATCGCGTCCGGCAGCGTGGGCAAGAAACATCAGGGCGTCGCGGGGTCGCTGATCGGCACGTTGTTGAGTTATGGACTCAGTACGGGGCTGGGATTCGCGGGCACGGTGGAGTCTTATACGAATGATGGGGGGAGGGATTTGTTGGGTGGGTATCGACATGCGCTGTATCTGGCTATTGGGATGGCGGGCTTTGGACTTGTGAGTAGTTTGCTGTTTTTGAGGATGCCGAAGAATACGAAGGAGGGGTGGGATGAGAAGGGGGATGAGACTGGAGGTGTGGTCTAGGCGAGACGTTTCGGAATGTAGAATTTTGAAAAAACGAGGTTTTTAGCGATCAGTCGAGTCAAAATGTGGTCATGATCGAATTACTCTGAATTTCATATGACAGCACGAGTTTGAAATTGCTCGTGGCGGTGCCAGAGGGATACGAAAGACTAGAGACAACTCCACTCACACTCACACTCTCCTCTACCTTCATCACCGATTCCACTTCCTCGGATCCGGTCCCATCACCAAATCTTTCTCCTTCATAACCTTCCCCTTGCCCTTCTCCTCACCCAACATACTCCTCCTCAGCCCAGCTTTCTCCATCATACTGCTGAAAGTCGTCATAGCAGTGTTCCTCCAAGCGGAGTCTCTATCACCCGCCATGCCTGGAGGAAGCAGACCGTCCAACTTCTTTCGCTCTCTTTCGTGCTGATCTGTGGTGGGATAGTTGCTGGGCGTATAGGGGCTTTGAAGAGTAGCGCCGACGTTGGCGACTTGACTGTTGCGGCCGGGACGAGTGGGCGTGTAGTCGTCCTGGGTTGGCTGTTCATCAATGGGGGTCGAATCGTCAGAGCTGGATGTTGTCTGCCAGGTACTCGCCGATGGCAGAGGCTGCGACGGTCGTTGATAAGTCGCCGAGGGTAGAGTTCTTGGATGTGGATTTCTCGAAACGTCAGGCGTATCCATCAAGACTTTGATGGTCTCGGCACTTCCAGTTCTACTCAGATCAGCTCGCTGTCTTCGACCTGAGTTGCTGCGAGTTGTAGCGTCCGTCATTTGGCGTCGAAGAGAGTGCATGCTTCGTTGCTTCCGGAGAGCTCGTACTGGGCTGATCTGGAAGTGCAATGTCCCTCGTTTGAGGTGCGCCGGGACTGGCGATTGCGTTGGAACTGGTGTCGATACCTGATTCATGAATGGTGAATGAGAAAGCCAGACTTTACTTCTGGATGCGGCTTCCTGAGCTTGGCTGGCTGGAGTGATAGGCGCCTTTGCTGGAGATTGAATGTGCACAGCGTAGCCTTGAAGACCACCATACATGCCGGTTTCCTCCTCTCGAGGCGGTGATGAATGGTAGAAGTCGGTGCGATGGCCCAAGCTGGTATCAACTGTCGGCTCAGAGATCGATCTTCCATGTACGGTGGGCCGCCGGTAAACATCTGGTCCCAAATCTGTCAACGTATCGCGACCGGTGGAGAAATGCTTCTCATCGATGTAAGATCTGGAGTTGCAACGTTTTCGTCGAAGAAGCCACAGAACCAAAGCTGCCGCTAGTATGGCGCCAAGTGCGATACCAGGTACGAAGCCAGCAGCAAAGGATTTGCCTGAGAATGAATCCGAGTCGTGGGTGTTCTCCACGGCGCCTCCAAGTGGAATGGGAGTGATTGTGGTTCCACCAGATGTGGAAGTCGTGGTACTGAGTGGCGAGCTCGTACTCGTCGGTAGAAGGCTGCTCGATGCCGAGGGCGATGAGGAAGAACTCGCGGCGGCCTCCGCTTTGCTCTGAGCCAGGCAAACGCTGCCTTGACACTTGTATCCCATCGGACAGCAAGCATTGCCGCAAGTCTCTAGCTCAACCGTAGGATCTGAATGTAGTTGACTGTCTGGCTGTGCAGTTGCGTTTTGCATTCCCTGATCGCATTGTACAGTGTTGATCGCAGCGCAGTCCTGACCAGCAGGACAACACAGCGCGGCTGTGATGGAGGATGTTGTATTAAGTAGTAGGCATTGTGTATCGCTTGCACAACAGAAATCCGAAGGAAAGCTGTTGCCGCACGGGTTGAGGTTCGTTTTCCCTCCGCATGTTGATTCTTGCCGTTTGGCGAAAGGTGTGAAATCTTCGGGTATCCACAACGAAGCGTCTCGCTGTAGTTCCTCGGGGATCCAGAGAGCGTTCGAAGAAAGGACTTGTACGAGACAGAGTGTAATTAGAGAGTTAGAGAACATGATGAAAATGCTTGCGCTGGAGAAAAGGCGCGGGTATCTCAAAGGAAAGGAACGGTGCAAGAAGACCAGGCCGCTCAACGGCCGCTCGAGGAAATGGGTGAGTATTAGAGAAGAAAGACAAGGAAACAACAGAGAGAGAGATGTCTCTACGCGCAAGACAATGTTACCGTGTGGTCGACGTGAAGTGGAGTGACATTGTCGAGGAGTGGGACCGGCGCGAGTAGATGAATGGCGACGGCGAGCAGCATTGACCGTAGCACCAGCGGTAGAGGCAGCGGAGTGTCTGGGTGGGAGAGAGTCAACAAGAGCAGCCGGTCTGGAATATCTGAAACGTCTTGCCGCCCGTGTGAGGTGCAGTGAACGAGGTGAGGTTGGTTGGCTGGCGTTGTGCTTGGAGCACTGTGGCCAAAGATCGCGAGTTGCGGGTCAGAAGTCTCGTCCCGAACAATGTCCGGGCGTCGATGAACTTCATGTCGCGGCCGGGCATGCGACAGCGCTTTCACGCACCCCCAACCATGATCACAAGACGCTTATTACGGCCCGCCGGCCAGATCGCCTCGTCACAATGGACCTGCTCAGCATGTGTACGGTCTGCCGACCATCAATGCCAATGCCCTCACTGACATTCTCCCCAGCGCGCGAGAGCCCCCCTCCTCCAAACCGTCCAACGATCCCAAACCCGTCCCATATCCTCACAGTACGAACCCGTAACTCACGGCGTACCGATACTACATCACGATAAATTCTTCGCGGAGAAGGGTATCCCTGGGCTATTTTCACCAAAAGGATACGATGTCGCCTGGACGCAATACCAGGAAGTGCTCCTCTCCAAACTCCGCGAACTTACAAGTGGTACCCCAGACGCCCACGCCGAGGTGAAAGATCTCGTCATCAGATACGCCCGCGATCCCATGAACGCCTCGCTGTTCAACCACGCCTCTGCCGCCTTCAACAACCATTTCTTCTTCCAGACGCTCTCCACCCACCCCGTGCTGTTGGAAAAGCAGCCCCAGCTTCAGGACTCCCTCATCAACACATTCGGCAGCATCGAGACTTTGCGGGCAACCATGCTGGACACTGCCGCCGCCATGTTCGGCCCAGGCTATGTCTGGCTCGTATGGGCGCGACAAGTCGACAAGGCACCGATGAGGGCCCGCAACGGCGCCTGGCGCATTCTCACGACGTACCTCTCCGGCACACCCTTTCCCGAGGCTGGTTACCGCCAGCAAGGCGTTGATATGAACAATCAGAACCCCAACTCATACCAAGGCTACCTCGCCCAGCAATCCCAGTTACCGAACAACACCGCAGGGGCCTTTGGCGCACACTCGGGCATCGGGAGGAAAGAGGCGACCATTCCTCCGGGAGGTGTCAGTCTCGCTCCGGTGCTCTGCGTGAGCACGTGGGAACATACGTGGATGGCCGACTTTGGCATCGCGGGCAAGAGGAAGTATCTGAACCAATGGTGGGACGTGGTGGATTGGAACGCAGTCGCAAATTTTGCACCAACAGAGGCCACAGCTTCGCATATGTTCCAGCTGAGATCGTAAGAGAAAGGTTGATGCACATAGCGCGAGGAAGAAGCAGACGCTCGTGGAGGAGGAGCTCGCGCCAATGGGGATGAACACTGAGGAGGAAAATTATTGTAACATTGTCATGGATACAGACGAGACCGACCTGGTGATTGGCCAAGTCGTGCCACAGTCAATCGGTGGAGGCAGTGTACATGCAAAAGGCGGCATACGCAAGCGTGGGAGATGAGCATGGGACACGTGCGGACAGGCTACTTGTGTGCTTCGACGGCGACGCCATGGAGCCGTCTGGTTATCAAAAGTGTATATTATATTGCATGCGAGCGGACTTCAAGGCTAGTCGCCCGCGTACGAAAAAAAGATCCTCGATCACGATGACCAGCCCAAGAGCACCATCTCCACGCATAAGCTGGCCTAGAGACGACATCTCAAGCGTAGAATCAGTCGTAGTAAAGGCGTCTCGCCAAGCTCATCTCTTCGCCATCTTTGAAAGCACGGTTGGCACAAGAGCAAGATTCATCATCTCTCATTGACAGCAGTAGTACTCATACGCGCAGCATATCCGCGCTCATCTGTCTTTCTCACTCCCAGCACACACACACCGCAGCGTTGATCAATTTGATAATCGTACACCATTTCTCTCCTCGCGCGAAAAGCCATATGCCATCCAGGCACACATATCACCATCCACACACACCTCTCTGATTCCAAGACTCCTTCAAAACTCCTCTTATTCTTTAAAGCTAGCAGATCCCCGACCCATCACCATCACCGTCTCATACATTTGCAAAGCCACCTGCAGCCGACGAAAGAGGAGACATTCAAAAAGTGTGCTTCTCATCCTTTGGGTATTGTAGCGAGCGTTGCGTTTGGTCGTCGTTTCAAGTCGTTAGAAAAGAGAAATTCCAATGCCGGTGCAGCCCACGTTTTTCTTTTCCGTGCTCTCCGGATCACTTTTCAATGTTACCATACAATTCCGCTCCTCCAAAAAACGTGCATCGACATTTCCGCGCAGACTCCCCGGCCGACCAAGAGCGTTGTCGTAAGAACAAGTCAAAAACTGCTCGTCGTTGCTATCGTCACATCGGTTTCTTTCGTGTCGTTACCAAGATTGAGGGTAGGCAGTACAAGTCGTTGAGTCCAAAGGCGGTTCGTAATGGTAGAGCGTGAAGCCAGTCCTGTAACAGTGATGTGCGCACGTCTAGTCCATGTAGAAATCGCCCTTTAGGATTCTCTCCTGGAAGTGATCAGGCCGAACTTGCTCCTTAGGCTTTGGCATCTCACGAGCTGGAGGCTCCATAATGGCGACACTCTGCGCGCGGCCATGGGCGGAACGTGGAGAGCTGGAGAGACCACCGCCGCCTGCGATGGAGGTACGCTCGGCGCGAGTACGGAAGTTGTCAGACCAGTTAAATCCTTCAGCAGTACCTACAAATCAAGAAAGTCAGCACGTTTTACCAACATGACAGAGCGACGCATGATGGTGTGTAATGGGTATCATGGACAGGGCAGCGAAGACAAACCTCGACCCTTGGCATCTCGGGCAGAGATTGTCCCGTTGGGCTGTTTCTGAGAAGTGGTGGTGCCGTTGGAAGAAGGTGCAGATGTACCATTAGTACCGCTCTGCTGTCCTGGAGGTGTGTTGCCTCCTCCATTCGTCCTCACATCCCTCAATGCCTTTGCCCCGAAGCTCATTCGTCGACCGAAGGGTGTCTGTGGTGTTGGGCCAGACGCAGGTTCGTCTTCGATGGCGGATTCGTCGATGCTGTCGTTGCTGCCAGCCGTGCCGTAGCTGTCGCGCCGAGCGTTGTACGAGCCGAACGGTGAGCTCTGGTTGGGAGAGCCGGACAGGCCGAGCGTAGTCAAGGAGAGGCGGCGTCGTTGGGCTTGAGCAGCAGCGCTGGTGATGGGTCCTTGGTATGACTGGCCTTGCTGTTGTCCACTGCCGCTATTGCCCTCGTTCACGCTCGTGGAACGAGACATGGAGCCACGCTGTCCGCCAAACAAATTGGCGAACGTCTCGCCAGCAAAGGACGAGCGTCGGGTTCGGTTTGGTGGTGGAGAGGAAGGAGTGTTCTCGTCGGACATTGCGGAGGTAATGTGTATCAGAGTATCAGGGGTAGGCGGTGTACGGGGACCGAATGGCGGCTAAGTGAATGTACGAAGAGGATGGATTGGACTGATCTGGCACAAAGGCCAACAACAGTCCAGAGGGTGTGCTCCAGACGCAGTGTAGCTCGCTCTTCTGACCTCACACTGGAGCTGGTCGGGAGGGAGGGATGAGTGTTTCGTAAGCTCGAAGGGGACCTCTCGCGGGTCGTCAGGATACAGCTACGTCACAGATATCTGGCTGTGCGAGGGTGGGCGATAAGGGCGAGGCGGTTGCTTTGGTTATGTCTCTGGTTTGAATGGTGTAGGCGGGGAGTGTTCGATTGCGGTGGGCGAGTCTGGTGGTTTGGCGATGTTTGTGGGAGGTGGAAGGAAGAGGTCAAGCCTTCCACACGCACCTCCAAACGTGCTCTTGACCCGCGATCTTGCCTTTCTTTGACCTAGCGATTGCGGGGAAGGAGTGACAGGGATCATGCCGCACGGCGTGTCCTCGGACCCAATCAGAAGCCCGACCGCTTTGTACGAGTCTAGACTGCTCTTCCTCAAAGCACTCACCTATCTTCCCTCTCACCGCTCAAAACACAGCCAACACCGAACCGATAACAACAAGTCTATTCCCATTCGAAAACCCTCCCCACAGTCCCCCAAAAACGCCTATCTCCCCCCCAATCGACACTTCCCCAGACGTACCAAGCCGAGCAGCAAAGCTTCCACTCGCAGGAGCTTACCTAGCTGTGGCCTGATTGATCGAGCTACGTATCAGCGCCAGAAGATTGCGATACGTACCTGGCCCAATACTGCACCAGTGCACAAGACCGCTCTCGTGATGTGTTCGTCGTATGCAGGGACATGCGGGTGTGGTCCCGCCGCGAGCCGCACGAGTTGACTTCACTTCGTACGAGACTACAAGTACGAAGAGCGACAGTGACATCCGGACGTCACGGTGATGCTGAGATCTATCTGATGGGATGGTAACTTCTCTGCACGCAGCATGGGAGATATGATCTATGGTCTAGTTCCTCACTCCCTCTTCATGGCCTTGCCGTGAACGTTCCTTTCCTGGATGACCAATTAGGCTACGCATGCTTGGAACCGATGGCATTGCTCTACGACAGTTTCTCTTGGGCACCGGGCTATGGCTTCGTTGTCTCAACAAAGCTGACAACATAAACATGCATCAAAGCGTTTTGTCTGGAGTAATCCCATCTTGGAACAAAAAGATACGACAAAGAAGAGACGCTTCAAAAGCCCATTGTTGCTATGTGTTATCGGTCTACAACACGCTCAAGCCTCTTAGTCTTCTTCCTGCAATCCTTAACCATCATATCAGCGCGATAACACAACATCAGAAATCTCTACACCACAAGAGACCACCAAACAACAACACAGCACCGCAACCCAAAACAAAACGAAATGCTCCCCTCACGCGAAACCTACCTCTCAACCGGACTGGTCCCACTCCCCACCCCACCTCAAGACACCCTCCCACCGACCCCATCTCCCTCAACCCCTGCAACCACATCTTCTGCCAAACCTGCATAACCCAATGGCTCACCCTCCCCCACCGCAACACCTGCCCAACCTGCCGCAAGATCCTCTTCCACCTCTCCTCCCCCCTCCCCAAACCCATCCAAAGCGACCGCCTCGTCCTCATGAGCCAAGCCATGGCCCACGCTGGCCTGCTGGGAGGCAACTACCTCCGCTTCAACGATGAGATACACATTAACATCTCTGAACTGTATCGCGCGGCTGCGCAGGCGAATCTGTGGCTGGGTGAGGAGTATCGTCAAGGTGCGGCGGGTCCGGCGGTTGTGGAGAGGGCGAGGTTGGGCGTGCAGGTTGTTGCGATGGGGAATCTTCTCAGGGGTTTCGCGAGGGCGAGTGGGAGGGGGTATACGGAGGAAGAGGTGAGGATGTGGAAGGTTATTGTGAAGGGCTTATTTGAGGTGATTAAGAGGTGGGACGGGAGGACGATGGATGCGATGGTCTTTCCTGCTTTGATGAGGGAGGAGATGAGAGATTTGGGAAGAAGAGGGTTGATAGGTGAGTCGTTCTTTGAAGGCGATGTGCAGCCGAACAGTCTGCGGGCGGACTTGGACATGCTGCTGCAGTATCTTGCTGTCAAGACGGTAGAGGCATACACTGCGAGAGAAGCCCTGAGGACGACTACTCGACCAGAGCCATCAGTCTTGCACACGGTGAGTTCATGGATCAAGAATTTGAGACGCTGAGTATGAGAAAGTAAGTGAGTTTGAAATGTTTCTTTTCGATTCCATATCGCACAATACAGTGCTTGAAAGTCAGCCCTGATGTCTTCCCTTCTCTATCATGAGTTCTTCATAGTCGCATGTAACATGAGCCTTCACCTGCTTGATGCAGTCCAGCTCCGCCAGTACCGCCCAGCTCGCTCGCTTAGAGCTTCTCGAGGATAGCGTCCACTACAACAACCCACACGTCAGCACACATCGCCCAAGCAAGGAGCCGCGCACCCGGAATGTCCGACCGGCACACCGAAAGAGCAAGAAGAAACTCACCACCAGACACAGTAACAGCCTGCAACTCCGTCTCAACCTCCGCATAAGCAATCTTGCCATGGTCGACGATCGCAGCCCAACGACCGTTGCGGTCGCCCGGCGCCGTCCAGCCGATCTTGGCGGCCAGCTTGGTCTCGAGGTCGGACATGAAGAGCACGAAGGTGTTGTCGTCGTCGCTGCCGGCGACGTTGACTTTCTGCCAGCCGGACATGACGTAGGCGTCGTTGGGGGCGATGATGATGAGGTTGTTGACGCCCTTGGCTTCTGTTGTGGAGGGGGTTAGTTGGTGATTGGTGATGGGTGTGGGTGAGGGTTGGGGGAGGGAGGTGTACTCAGCTCGGAGATCTTCTCGATGAAGCGTGGGACGTGGTTGCCAGAGCAGGTTGGGGTGAAAACGCCTGGGTGAGTGTCAGTACGAGAAGTACTTGAAGTTGACGTTGATGATGTGGTCCTTTACCTGGAACGGAAACGAGCACGACCTTCTTGTTCTGGAACTCCTTGGAGGCATCGTAGGTGACGGGGATACCGCAGACCCTGGAGATGGCATGGTCAGTATCGAGTGATGCAGATGCAGCAAGTGAAGTTGTGGCGACTTACTTGGTGTCAGCGTTGGTCCATGGGATGTACTTGAACTTGACTGCAGCGCAATGTCAGTTCATGTTCTTTGTAGTGGTGACGGCTCAAACACACCGCCCTCTGGGAAGGTCTCGCCGGCCTTGAGTCCTGCCTGTCCAGTCATGATGTCGGTGTCGGTGTTGATTTGGAGTGTGTTGTGTGAAGTATTGTGTGTTGTGCAGTTCAAAGTATGATCGAGCTGTTTTAATCCTGCAACGTTTGCTACAAGAAAGTGAAGCTGTCGTTTGTCTGCAGTCGCAGTTGCCTCTAGAAACACGTCGAAAACACCTCGCACCTATCGCTTCTTATCGCCATCCATATCAGAAACCGTCCACCAAAGTCGTAAGACATGACGCCAGCAAGGAAGGAACGCCCGACAAATCGCCATCGCTAACCACCCCAAAACGCAAAGATCCACACCCGCAAACCACGTGCTATCGCGCATCTGCCATACGTTTGCAGTGAAACTTTTGGACCACCCTTGCTTCGACCTGCGGTATTGGATCATCTGATTGTGTAATGCGAGGCCGCCTCGCTGGGGGATTGCTGCTTTGGGATGCGTTCTAGCGGTATTACCGCGGAGAAAAAAAGCGTGCCCACCCTGTAGACTCTAGATATCTGCGAGCCTGACGCCTAAGGCCTTGAAATATAATAAATATACTTTATATTAGTATTTCTAATAATATATATATATTTAGAGTTATAAGATTAAAAGTAAATATAATCCTAGAAAATTACTAGCTATTAATTTATTAGTAAGTTAATTACTATATTTAGTAAGAATCTCTAATATGCTTTAGTCGTTCTAGAATGTTTTAGACGGAAACGTCTAAGGAGTAAAAACGCTTTATATTAGGCGTGCTAGTAAAAAAGTACGACTAATATTAGAAGCGTATAGATTATTTATAAGGGTAGTATATAATATTAACGAGGGATTAAGAGATCTAGATAAGGAATTATAGTAAGTTATAACTTCTATAGTATCGTATATACGATTCTAGTTATACTTCGTACGTGTTTCCTATATCGAGGTAGTATCGCGATTATCTTGCGGTTAGAAGTAACTATCTAGCTAAAGCGGTCGACTTGTACTCTATCTAAGTCTACTAAGCCTAATTGTCTCTACTACTACGCTATAAGACTACTACGCTAAAAGACTACTAATATATCTCGAGTAGGATATCGGGTTTATATATTAGACGCGAAACACTCGTATCTCGACCTTAAGTTAAAGGCGTAGAAGAAGAGGAAGAGGCTTTACTACCCCTACTTAACGTCTTCGCCTAGATCGAGAACTCCCCCTCCTATTCCTAATCCCGCTCTCCTTCGATAATACTTATACTAGCCGCCCTCCTATCTTTTCTCTACTAAGCTCTAAAGATAGAAATAGGCGTTACAGTTAGTACTGTCTTTTTAGGAGGTGCCGTAAGAGGAGTTCTTATAGCATACTAATAATACATTTATATAAGCGCGATATTATAGCTTACTAGGATAGGCTATATAGAGGTATTATTCAACAGCTCAAGTTTAGTTACCGCACCGCCTAGCTTGAATTAGCATCGTAATAGCAAGTCTCAGTGCTTTTAAGATACTCCCCCCTTATAGTTGCCGTTAAGTGTATTCTCTCTAACTTCTTGCATAGAGTTACTAATCTCTAGCAGATAATCACGACACCGATTAGCAGTCGAACGGCTGTTACTAAGAGCCTGTAACCTCTATTCTGTATCTCGAGGCATCTTGTCACCCTTAGATCGCTAGTGAGGAAACGCGCATTTAACTTGGTTAAACGATATTGTGCTAAGATTTCGTTGGAGGGCTTCAATCCGTATCGATGTTGGCGAAAGCCCTTTCAAGTTCTATTTCCTAAAGTAATCGGCCTCGAGCTCATTTCATCGGGTGATTGTGGCTTCGATTTCACAGCTACGATTCTTTAAGATATGCTATCCAAATCTGAAAAAGTATCGTTTGTTCGCGTTTTTGGCGAGCGGAGTAAATGTTTGCTCACTTTCAGATCCTGCTAGAAGCATGTCTGGCTTTGTTACAATACCCATAGAATAATTGCCATTGCGATCGGCTTCTTTCACTAAGATCATAATCCTCTAATGGACTTTGTGGGTACATAGAGATTGTGCACAAAGAGGACCTGTTGGTGGATAAGCTACGCTTTAGAATGGGTGCGGCAACGGAACCGCATCGGGATATGACGATCGCTTTGGAATTGGAAGAAGGTGGATGAGTTTGGATGATTCGCTCGAAATTAACAAAGACCTTGAGAACAGAATTAGGAAGGCTGTTCATGTTCATTTGAAGGGTGTTGTAAGTTTGGTGATGTTCAATTCAACCTGTACTGCTCAAGTGTTCAGGTTCGCATCCCTTCGCTCTTCAAAAGCCCAATATTCCATGCTTCTGAACTCACATATTATGTTTCTCCTTTCTGATGTTTCACTTTACTCACTGTAGTTTTTGGGCTGTCTTTTCATGTCCAGCAACATCTCGTGCGCAGCTCCAAATGCCGTGCTTAACCCCTTTTCGTCTCAGCTTTGCTGCTTAATGTCTGAGACAACACCTTTGTTCGGAGAATCTAGCCTCTTTGCTGTATTAACGACATTAAGCCTCGCTCTTGCTTCTTCCTCCTTTCATTCTCACTGTACAGTCTTTAGACCGAGCCGTGAGACTGGCCATGAAGACATAAAGAAGCGGGCAGGGCGTCATCGATCACGTTCGGAATACACGCGTCAAAGTGTAACTCGGGTGAAGTACTGTGACCCATGCTGAAACGAACGTTCTCCTAATGATCAATATTGTACATCGCTCTTCAGCCACTACACACCTTCAACTGCCATCGCCCATCGTAATCTTCAGTTTCGCAATATCCTTTCCCAGCGGATCCGCACCATTGTCGCCTATAGAAATAGCCGCTCGAAGCTCTTGATCATTCGTCGCGCGAAGAAATGTGGAGAAGACGTTCTTGTAACTCGCATTATTAATTCGGAAAGCTCGCAGACCGATGGCACTGCTGAGCAATGCGAACAGCAAGCTCAAGCCGTACGGGAGTAGGAGATCTATGCGATCGTACTTATACGTAATAGGGTATGTTGTAGTCGTCACCGGGACTTGCTCGGCGCCCGTCGAAGCGTTTTTGCTGTCACATCTTTATTAGCTGCGGTGGATGCGGCACGTGTCGTATACGCCGGATGACTTACATGAAGAGGTCGTTACTCAGGAGGCTCAATGTGTAGTTTTGGAACAGTTGCTCGAGACCCGACTCGACTTTCTCGCTGTATTCGTCCATGATGGTGATGATGTTCCAGCTGGTAGAGAGGGTAGACGTGATTGAGTAGTGGTTGTAAGATATCGTCCCGACCAGTAATGTGCCAAACACTTTCATCATGCCCGCATAGGCTATGTTCTCTAATTCATCGGCTTTGCTTCCGACGGCTGCAACTGGGTGAAACCATTCCTTCACAGTTATCTGACGGGTCTGATTCGGGTACTGGAACTCGAAGTCTACACCATAGCTGGCATTGTAGAGTAGACACTCCGTAACGTTTACCTGCACTATTTCTGGATTGGTGTATATATTGCTCGCGTCGGGATCTCCATTGGCATGCTTGCGTCTCGTTACATTCCAGTTGCCAGTATTGGTCATGACGTAGATTCGTGCGGCATCGGTATTGGCGTAGTCCACGGTAGCCGGGCTTCGGCTCCTTTCGGAGGTTGACAAGTTGTAGTAATTTCCAGAAGGGGCCACCTGGTAGGCTGCGTATGCGTCTGAGACCCACGAGGCATAGCGCCAGGTGTATCCTGAGTAAGGGTTCGTTCCCAGTGACATGGTGGTGTTGTAGATCACCGAGTCATTTGCGGCAGCACACTTGACTGCGGGACCGTAGAAGTCCAAATGGTATGTTTGGTTGGGCTGCGAGAATGACAAAGAGACCGGTTCGCTGGCAGCTGCAGCTGTGAAGCCCAACTTGTACAGATCAGCTGCCGCGGAAATACTGTAACTATTCGACACTCCTGGTACCGCCGATGATCCTCCTGCCTGTCTCTCTGCATACCAAGAGGTGTTGAAGTTAGGTTGTGGCACTGAGGCATCAGCAACACGAACCTGTGCGCTGGGCGAGACTGATAGCGCGCCTGGCGTGACAATTGCGGCTATCGGGATTGTCCTTGAGCAATATTAGTCTTTGGTCAGTGAAGAATAGAGCAGGAACAGGTCATACCACGCTATTAGAACAAGGAACGCCAGTAACGGATGCCTGAACCAGACCGTGCTCTGCAATAAACCAAAAATATTTCCCAGTGCCCCTGTAAGCGTGTCCACTTCGTCGATTCTGAATGTCTGGCGGTGGAAGCTCTGCCATTGATGTTGCACGAAGGCTATCTCCACGGCGACAGTGAAGGCGAGCTTCGCTACGAAGGCCAGTCCAGTCCCGATGCGCGTTATCCAGGATTGCGAAATGTAGACATCGTCAACAGCCTTGCCGTCTAGATACTCGTTCGTGAAATGGTGTGCAAGAGCAATCAAGAGGCCGACAAGCACCGCGGTCAAGATCGAGACCGGCGCATTCCAGCTTCGCAAACGTGTCTTGTGACTGGAATCTGTTCCCGAATCATTGATGAGTCTGGAGCTCACGTCCAGGCCTGCTTTCGGCTCCAGTCGATCAGGCTGATCCGTCTCCGGGCTCCGCTTCATGATGATGTAGACGGAAAGGACTGGTAGAATCGTGAGTACTACAAGAGTTCACTTTCAAAGTACAAGAATGACTGTCATCGACACTTTGGAATCGCTCAAGGTGCAAGACTTGGCATTGGGGCAAGGGAGGGTACAACTTCTTGGCGAATCCTTCAGCATAGGCGGATAGGGCACAAGCTTTGGCGTCTACGCTACAGCCCTATTCATAGAACCGGTTTCCAACACAGCGCATGCGAAGGTCGCGCACCTCTTGCGCACCTCTTCATGACCTACTGCATCCGCAACGGAATGGTCCTAATTTGCTACCATACAATAAAATGAATCATCAACTCGCACAGCGACCCGTACGATCGCCTCGTTTCCGTGTCGCTAGGAACGAAACGGCCGTCGAGGACCCAGGTTCCTATGACTGCAATCTTACTATCTCGCGCTGAGGAAGACTTGTTGTTGACCGCACAGAGCATCAGCAGTGGATTGCATAGACTGGTCACCGCAAAGAAGAGAAATGGAAAACACGAATGAAAGCGTTGCGAGGGCCTGGGAATCAATGTTGTTTTGCAATAACAAAGCCGATAGATGATCGCAGACAGCTTTTCAACGGCTCACTCCACGAGCAGGCCACATTTCGCGAAGTCACCATGGCTATCACAGGCTTTCCACTTTCGTATTGTGGCAACATGCGAACACTTCAATCCGCTAGCCATTGCAAAGGCACGAAGCTCCAAGGCAGCAAAGCGTCCCACTGTATACCGGGCGACGATAATCGAATCGACTTCTCCAACTCGACACACTCGGCCGACTTCTCGTACTGATCAGACTGCTTGTACCAAAGCTGAAGCACATGCAGTGGGAATCGCACAGCAGCCGCCCTTGAAATATTTCCGCTGGTGGCACCAAGAACATATTCAAGGCTTTCAAAGAGCTGATCGGCGTACTGGGTCGCAAATCCTTTGGACATTTCCGCAATGCCTGCAGCTTCTGTATCGTCTGGACTTCGGTCCATGCGCGTATCTGCAATGCGCATCACGGCAGATGTGAGAAGTATTTGGCAAATCCAGTACAATGAGTGGAAGTTGAAAGATAGCAGAGATGCGAAATGCAGCACCCCGGATTCTTTGTGCGGCTCATGGGCGCTGGCCGCATAGTACGCCGAAAGCCAGCTGCGGAATCTGTCGTACATCGCGAGTAGGAGCGGCAGCGGTGTGTGAGCCCGTCGAGAATCAAGTTCAGTCGTGCAGAACCAATCCGCCAGTTCCAGAATCTGAGGCAAGCCGACAGCGATGGCTAGCAATGCGTCCGAACCGCCAGACTGAATGTCTTGCATGATCGTCAACCACCGCGACTCTCCAAGCTTGAAAGATTTCCGATTCACCAACGCATGAACAAGCTACCAAGAAGTTAGTTTCCCTGACATTATAAAGACGGCTTGCCGAATATACGAACCCCACATAGTCGTGCAAACTTGAAACACGTTCTGCCAGTGACAGTCTCAAGCAGCGCTGGGCCACAGTGATCGATCCGCCGTACCACTTCCGAGACATGCTGTGTCCATACTTGTGGGCCAGTAGAGGCAGCATGATATATCTGATCGCGCTTTAGCGAGAGAGTAATGACAAATTTGTTGACTTCGTCGTACTGACCTCGGAGGCGAGCACCATCCCGGTGGCTGCGATCATGTCTTCGGGTTTGGCATTCGACCCATCACGCTCCATTTGCCAGAATTTCATCATCAGTTGTAGTCTTTTGAGTGCGTGGAGGACAAGACGTTCCTCTGCTTGCACTGTATCCAATTGTAGCAGGCCCAGGACCTCCATGGCAACCTCCATGGATGGCAGACGAGCCGATGTCCAGAATTCGCTCTGCAGAAGCACACCAGGATGGACATGAACCTCCCGCGGGAGAATGCCATCAATATAGGCGGCTAAAAGCAATCTAGAATAGACTGCTGGGGAATGAACCGAGGCGAGGATCGGCCGAACAGGCAAGAACGGAATTGTATGTGGTGCAGCGACCTCCGCAGGGACGATGATGATTGCTTGATTCTCTCTCTGACGTGACATGATTAACGAAGCGATCTGAGATGATGAAGCAGATTGCTTCGGTTCGGGACTGGGACATTCTGTCTGGAGTGGATTGGCTATGTCAGTCGCCAAGCACTCGTGACCGACGAGTGGCATTATAGATTCCGTGGCGTAAGCTTTGTTGATGATGCTTGATCGATGCATGTCCTTGATGACGGTTAGCAGATGCGCGACGGATGGTAGTAAAATAGCTGCGAAAGACAGCGTTGAGAGTCTCTCCCGCGTTGGTAAGGCTGAAATTGGCCCGCCAAGAAGCTGGACGTTGGCTTAGTCGGTAGCCAAGCCAGGCCGACAAAACGTGGCACTTGGTCCCGGTTCGAACCTGCGTCTGGACCGCTCCGTATTCTGCCACGTCGTATTTGTCATCGCTTGTCCACTGTCAATCTCACCACGTTTGGCACATATTTATCCAGTAGATCGTCTGTCTGCTGTGCTTAGTTACAGGGTCTCAGAAGGTTAATAACGAGCGACGCAGATGAAGATGACTCGCACGCTCAAGCACGAAAGAGGCATATTAAAGAATGGATCCACCGTCTCCTGCTAATCTTCTACTTTGTTCCTCCGCCTTGATCGGCAAACGAAGAGGCACGACCGTCTATGTAAAGTCTCACAAAGTTCATGTGATATGTCTCCATTTCGAACCAACGATACACCCCTCAGTCTTGCGCATGGAGCATAGAGATGGCTCCCACGAAGAGTCGAAGACGACAGGTTGTCAGGTCGTATAAGGGAGCATTGTGTGCAGAACATCGTGTGAGGTTGACTGATCGCCCGATCCCTCCGCCGCAGCGCTGTTAGTAGTCGCTTGTAGCGTGGCGTACCCACTTAATGGGGAGGCCGGGCCCCCGTCGTGTGGCTCGGCAGCACCGCACGGACGAAGTGGTATGCATGGTTCCGGTGGAAACGCCCATTGTACAGCTCTTCGTTATGCTGTCGCGTTCGCATTTAACAGAATGAGAATTGCAACCGCGGGAGGATCATGGCAACTATTTGCGTAGGAAGTACACACGTCCACTGTCCGATACCCTTAGGGCTAGCGGCAGTGCGCAGCCTCTGGATTCCCACGTGCTTATACTGTAAATAGACGTATACGATGCCTCTCTCGCACGCGAGATTTAGCATAGCCGGCATTAAATCCGCACGATGGCCAAGACTGGGGCTATCTCCGGATGGCTCACGACAATTCTTCCCATTGTTACTCACTTTTCCTTCCAGCTGCGCAATTCGGTAGTTGGTGCTGTCTTAACCCTAATACATCTCAACAGCCAGCGATGAGCCAGGTGATCACGGACCAGAAGCCTTTGAGAGATTGGTGGAGTACCGCACTATGCTTTGAGGAAGAATGACGAAACCAAGCTTCGGGAAGCCACTCATATAATGCTACGAACAGTACATGTGCAAAGAAAGGGCATGTCCTCACTTTCAGCACACTTGCAGACTGTAAGCTGATCATGTTGATGCAAACTCGTGTCTTAAGCGCGACCGCGAGAGATAGGCGACTGCATACACCTGGATGCTCGACAGGTATGGCATCACCAGGTTATCAGCGCCCCAATCCAGAAACTTCTTTGGAAACTTGGCGGCACCGACCAGCCCGCGCTGTCCAGTACGCTAAGCGTTGCCTTCTGTGGACTCAAAGTCGGCACAATAGACTGTCCGTAAGACACGGAGGACGGACCTGTCTATTGGGTGGTCACTGTGTTCAGCCTGTCAAACCTATGTTTCCGACAAGGAGGATTCGTACCCTACCAACCACAGCCATGGCTAGTGCACACAGCGCTAGCTAGAACGGAGCGCTTTGCCCTATCGCGAAACTTCGAAGGATTTAGGGCCAATGTGGTCCATGTGAGGATCCCGGACTATCAGGGGTATGTTCTCATATCGATCTGATACACCACATGGCTAGTTTCAGACGAGTGGCCAATCTTACAATGGATCAAGCTACACGAGTCGGTCCGACGGATCAGTCGAGTCCCATGGCAGCAGAAGGCAGTAGATGCTGGCTTCGTGACATGTGGGATCGGAGGAATAGAACCTCACCAAGGAGCTCAAGATCTTTGAGCCAAGTCGTTCGCGCATACTCTTTCCCTGGTATCGACGCGAAGGTAGGCGCCGCAAGGATTCGTGCGCAACGCGGTGGATCTACCAAGAGTCGCTGTGCAACTCTTTCAAGAGGCGGTGCTGGTCTGCGCCATCTTGCAACTCGAGGTGCTCACACTTAAATGTCCTGGTAAGTGCAGTGTCTTCGTCTTCGCACGACTCCACCACATCGCTCGTTCGTACACGTTTCAAACAGCGCAAGAACAACATCTCCACTACGCAGCGTCGATCAGAAAGCGGCGTCTTCCGTGGACTCGCCATGCGGACGGCAGAGATGTCACAGAGGCAATGCCAGCGACCAGATCGCATACAAAAGCCACAGCCTCTCCGTCGATCGACTAGAAAGAGGCATGCTATCGATGACATGAAAGAATCACCATCAGCACCAAAAAAACTACTGAGACATAATGTCACCGAATCGAAGGCTACCATTCCGTCCCACAAACGCGATACCAAGCAAATCGCAGCACCCCAGTTCTTGTCTTTCAAGTCTACCGCGGAACTCCTCATTCACCCAGCACTTGTATCATCGATCTTTTCAACGAAAGAGATTACAGCTCGCCGTTCTTTGACTGTTTGTCGCCTGAGATCTCGACACTCAACACTCACGGTCGAGCCAATGTCATCCAAGGCTTCCGCGACTTGGCGAAAAAGTTGCCAAGCTTACATTGTGAGCTTCAAAACTCTACATGCACCGTTGACCAACGTGCTGGCGATGCAAAGGTGGTGATGACGACGGTCATCGGCTCTTACTATGGGACTACCCGACAAGGGATCAATCTGTTCTCGTGGAAGAGGGAAGGTGATCGATGGAGTTGCGTCAACTACTGGGTGCTGAACGGGATCGAGGAGTTCGATTAGGAGATAGCACTGTCTCAAGTTGTTACATCCGCAGTGAAGTATCATCCCTGGAGTCTAAGCTTACACCTTGCCTCACTCTGAGCTCAGCTTGTCGGGAGCTCGACAAGAGTACCCCCCAGGACATGCGCTCGTCGCCGAGTAGCCACACCACGACCGATGCACCAAACTGATGTCGCTTTTCCGCCTTGTAGACGTGGAGGTGAGATCTCAATACCGTGTGCTATTACTCGCGTCAGGTCTGCGTCTGCTGGCTCGATATCCCAATCCAAGCTCCGACCGTTAATATTGGGGTTTTGTTGCTGAACATACGCACATCATCGAAGATGACCTTGCTCCTTTCTGCTTTGACAATCTCAAGGTCCCCGGGGGCATCTTCCACCCATGCAGGACAGCCTGCATTCTACTCGGGGATTGCGAGCTGTCGGGGTGCTTCTGGAACTTGATCACTTGCCAGCTCTGCTAGCCATGCGGGCCCCAGATCTTCGCGCAAATGGGCGGATGAATGGTCGAGTAGTAGTCCATATCGAGTGTCGCGTCGTCGTTTTGAGGATATAGGACGTTCGAGTAAGCAGTAGGTGCTGATGACATTACAGAATCAAGGGTAAAAGAGTCGAGTATACTGGCGAGGATTTGGCGGTTCGTCTTCGTTTGATTCGCTGTCGGACCGCAGCATGCTGACGAGCCTGGGCAGATGGTATTATTGACAGCCACTGGTCCTTGATCGAAGTAATAGCAGTCGGTAAGATTCGCAGCAAGTGCTACTTGCGAGATCGTGAGTGCGACCATATAATCGACATACATGCTGAGAGTTGATGAGGAAAGAAGGTCCGGAGAGGAAAGCGCGGAGGGGGGTGGGGGGGTTCGCCAGCAACAGTGCGCACGTTGATACACGTGCCGTCCGGCGCAATGCCACATTGGCGGCGCTCAGCGTAGTACTACGAAGGGAAATTTTGCTCGGCCAATAAGGCTTCGAAACTGAGTTTGGATGGTTGAGATCATCCATGCCTCCCCACCCAGAAAATTTGGCCTAGTGAGAGACAGCTGAACTGGCCGCGTTGCTGGGACCCTCGTTGGTGGTTCTGCTAGCGACGCTTGTCCAAAATGCAACACCGCATGCAAGCCTTGGCAGTTGTAAGAAATGGCAGGATTTCTCGAAACAAGATGTTGTTGCTCTAGCCAGGCATGTCTACTTTTGTTTTCATCTATTCAGGGGAGCCTCTCACCTCTGAGAGTGCTGGTTACCACAAGCTTGCCCGGTCTGACGACTTGGCTTTATGGTGTCCTCATTTGCACGTGGGAGACTACGATAGCACAGCCAGCTGTATCACTTCTGCGCTTCTTCCGCCCGAATTGCTCTTGATTGCCGTTTTCATGTACTTCACTTAAAGCTGTACCTCGAGATCGTGATGACCCTCTACCGCACTTTCATAACCAACAACGTTACGAATACAACGAACATGGAATTGCCGACGACATCGTGGCGGACTCAGTAGGGAGTTATGAGGCGACATTCTAAATCTGTAAAGCTGGCGGAAGTTCATCGACGTCGTACACCAATTCCGTACATGTGCCTTTGCAGCCCTACCTAGCTGTGCAGAAGGCTCGAAGGGCTAGTTGGGCTGCAGTGTATTGTTAGCCTGATCGGCTCTACTGCCGACCAAAACCCCTAGCCTAGTGCATACAGTGACGCTTGGCCAGAAGTAACGCCACGCCTTACACTTGTCCGGGATAGGTTCTGAAGCTCCGCACTGAAGAGGCTCTACTTCACTCTTTGTACCTGCGTCTCATTGCCCCTGGGTCTCATGTCCGTCCCGCCACGTGCAAACAGAGTCGAAAAACGAACACGTTCATGAGCGGATATAACGTGGCAAGCGAATTTTTTAGAGGGTACACATTGGGCACTCCTACGCGATGAACAGACAACACGCTACAAAGTGGTCAATATCTGAAGTAGTTTAGCTGTGCCCCTGCAACATATATTTCAGTCCGAGTCAACGGATTCTCGGGTAAGCGTTTCATTTTCGTTCGTTCGTTCTGCACGGGCTCAGCGAGCAACTCCCTTGGCACGACATGTTTCAGAACTTCGTCGTAGTGAGCCATGGAGCTCGTCGCAGGGGCTGGCAACGGTTCAGTATCCTATTTTCTTCTTAGCCACATTTCACTGCTTGACATTTGAGAGACGAGGTAAGGTATCAATTTCATCCTCATTTTCATCCGAAACGAAAAATCGAGTCTGTTCCCAACATAGTATGTCCCGCGCCTCCGAACGATCGAGAGTCGCCCATGTGACGCGAACTAGTAGGTTTGACTTCGCTAACACGAAGGATGGCTCCTTCCTCGCTCAAGACAGCCTCATAAGCGGATTTCATTCGACTTCAGCCCTGGCGAGAAATTCACTGTTCCACATGTCTATCTGCGTGATGCAGTCGTAGCGACCCGATAGTGCTGACGGGTGAAGTCCAACGAGCAATCTTTCCATCACAGCCACCCGAGTGTTCTGGCTGACCCATGCGTCCCTCTGCTAAAGGTATATAAAAACACCTTGGCACGCGTGCAGCGTGACAGTCAATTACTTTCGCCGCTCTCCACGGCCTGACAGTGCATACTCTTCTCACGTCAGTTCGGTTCAATTCACTTTCCGCCCTCAGGCCGCCCAGCATGAAGGGGAGCAACACCGCGCGATGGCACATGCTATTGCTCATCGCGGGTTTATCCATTGGACTCGCTACATCACAAACAGGATCGAGCGCGGATGGTCAAGTCGACAATGATCCCACAATCACGGATCAACCTGACGGATATATTTGGAACTCGGCAAGTATATCGTCCCATCCACCGAGAGCAGTCTGCCTGTCGCGCCGAATTTTCCCATGGAAGCGAAGGGCAGATCCGGCCGCTCAGACGTATTGCAGCGGCAGGCGATATATGATGGGGCGATGGCGCGGTATGTTTCAGTTGCAGAACTATGGAAGTACGGTTCCCGTGTACGATGGAAATGCCTACTCGATCGCGTCATACTAACCCCCCAGTGAGGGTACTTTGAAGTTCTATACAACACAACCACGGCAGTCTACGACCAGCCAGACGGAATATTATGTGACTCAACTTGGAGCTTACGCAATGACACACGCACCAGAGACATTTCGGCAGGGTGCCGCAGCATACCGCAATTCCAGAGAGTGGACACAAAAACAGCGAGACCAATTCATCGTCGATGCCAATGCCGCTGCATTGAGAATGTCCAACGAAGTGGTGTCAGTCAGCCAGACGGAAAGCCGCACAGAAGAAGCCTCACCTACTAGCAACCAAGGCTCATTCAGCTCGGAGACATCGGTGGACCAGCTCGCTTTAGACTCCCAAGGTTCTGCGAAACGGCGTCGAGGTACGGCGTCTCAATAAGTGTTGGTTGGCGGATGCAGTTCTTGCGGCAAGTTGATACTATCGTCGGGGACTTTCTAATTCACCTCGACAGCGACACATTCAGTGCAACGGTGCTAGCTGGATGCCCTGGTAGCACGAGGAAACACTGCCAAGGCTTTCTGGTTGTAACGCACTATTGTAGCGCTGTACTGCAGCCGATACGTGCCACGTCTTCATGCACAGACAAAGCCTGTGCGACCGCTCGGAACGTGGCCCAGCCGCCCCTGCACATGGGCCGTTTGACCCGAAACTGAAATCCTCTGTCAAGCAGGGCATCTTCTCAAATAACGAAGAGCACCTCTATGAATAATCGACACTGCCATCTTCAGGCAAGATTCAAAGAGAACGCGATTGAAGGTAAATCAGTAAGGACGAACACGCCAGGCCGAACAGGCTAATCAATGGTTGATACATCACGAAAGTGCAACAACGCATCGCTAGGCGGCTGGCCCGATCCCCCCGCGGCTATGGCTCGGCCTCGCTGCAGGATAGCAGCTAGTGAGTGGAGCAACAACATCGCTCGATGGTGGGCTCGAGATGCCATTCCTATTTAGACTACGGCCAGCAGCAGGGATGTACGCATCCATCACACAGTGAGACCTTGCGTGCACGTTTTATGGACGTGCATTCCTAGCAGCGCCAGGTCTCGAAGGCGGCCATGGGAGAAAACCTCCCAGTCAACTGGTACACCTATTCGACATATCTCGGAGTGCAGTCGGAAAGGCGGCCCAACCCAAGCTCTGTTTCTTCAAAAATATATCTGCCTCTGAAAGGTCTGCGGCAGCTACCGCCGTTTGGTTTGTGTAGATGGTCGATGTCCGGATCTCTGTGTACAGTCCTCTCGGCTCGATATAGAGCTCTGCGCATATGCACCCGCCCTTGGATGACGCAGACACTGCTCTGATTCCCACACGCTACAAGACCGTTCGGTTCCTCGCTTCAAAAACTTCTCGATGCCTTGCATGCGCTTTTCCCGAAGAAGAGAATATCGGAGCGAGTGTGATGGCGATGTCTCTACCACCAACCATTCGGTATGGCACTGCTTACGCTCTATAGTTCCATGTTACTGGGACCAACACATCGACATTGATATTTTGGCTGCAGTCGAGAGATGGCAATGCGAAGACTGCGTCAAGGAGAAGGCCGACGGCACGGGGTTATCAGCGGACCCAGAATACAATCACTCGGTGTCTGCAGTAGATCTCACATCTATCAACAATGACAACGACATTGAAAATTGGTATGAATGGAGGAGAAGTACACTCTCTCCTCAAAACAATCACCGTGGCATTGTGGCAGCCACGGACCGCATTGTATCCGACGCAACGCACAAGATACTATGCAAAGGCTTCCGTTGGAGCAGAAGACAACCATCATGCAACAGCGGCACGGCAGCGGCGCTTGGGAGAAGTTTTGAAACATCTCGTAGCGGACCCGACGAGTGAGAAGCCGTGTCGATGCGCTGGATCCTGCAGCTTCTGCGTGGGAGCAGCATCACTGACACGTTGGTGCGATTGGAAGCATCATATCGAGCGAATCGCGTCATGTACCATCCAGTTGGGACGCTAATCTGCCGTACGGCAGCCTTTCAGCGTGGGGCTGGATGGGATCCGCATCCGAGGTATCGGGCAGCCTTGTAAGAGTACTGGCCGCAGAACTCACAGCAGGATTCATGCCTGAACGGATATGCACATCACGATCCTATGGCGCGGCTCGCTTCCGCAATAATGTGATGGCAGAGCTGAGCAGGGCTGTCGGCCCGTGCCTTGTCGCTCATTGGGCCGACTTGATGCTCTCTCGCCGCACAACCACCTTAGCGGCTATGCATGTGTTGTATACACCTGAAACGGAATTCATGTGCCACCTGGGAGAGAGAAGGTACATGCTCGAGCTTGCCGGGTTGTCTCAGCAAGTCCCACCTCGACTCTGCCTTGTGGTCGATGTCAGAAGTCCCGCTACTTCCTCAAGCTCCTCGTCTCTCCATCTCGAGCCAACCACTGCCGGCATGGTATACGACAAGAGAGGATCATTCTCCGGGAAACGTGGAGGGCCAAGTGGCCCTGGACGCAGCGCAGGTGATTCCGCGCCTAGTCGACCGATATGCTTCCACCACAAGCGGGGAATATGTACGTTGGAACTGATTCTATTCCTCCGTGGATGAATCGCTGACCAAATCTTCGTGTGTAGGCAAGTATGGAAGATCCTGTACAAAATCTCATGATCGAGACGAGAGATCGTTACAGCGAGACAAGAGGGTTGACGAAACGCTAGAGCAGCTGGAGGCTAGAGCTAGTTACAACTCCTGGAGAAGCGCTATTCGGCTACCACCTCAAGGGACTGCCGGCCTAGACAGTCAATTGCTATGGGACGAGGCTCTTGCTATCCGTATGTCGCCGTCGCCTTTCGATTACCCAGTCCCAACACTAGGGAGTGCATGTGCTGAATGATTGTTCCAGTCAACGGAGACGACCGAGACTGCAAGCAGAGTCTTCCGAGAGATTTGGAAAATGAAGATGACTACTTTGGTCGACAGCACATCCAGGCTCTTCTCTGCGGGCGAGCAAAAGATGGTCGGCATCACAGTTTTGTTAAAGTCTCACGATCATTCTTCTTAGTTATGACGCACCCGGCCCTGGTTGACTGCCTTTCTGTGGATACGTATGTGGGAAACTTGTACAGTTTCATTTCGGGAACGAATGGCACAAGAGCGATTCCGTTCTTTCAGCACGTCTGCAAGATCGTTGGGAGCATTCTCGCCGATTCCACCAGGAAGACGTCGGTGGACACGATCGACTCTACCCTAGTTGGTCTCCTCGAAATTCTCTCGGAACTACTGCAACGCGAGCGAAGAGCCAGATTCAACGAAAGTCTTCCGGAGCTACTCAATTATTTGGAAACCTGTGCTGAGACGATGCCGCAAGAGTCTCTAGTGACCTCCAGCTTGATTAGCAGTCGAGTCAGAGACCTCCGCTCTGTCGTTGCGCGTGCAAATACCCTGCTGTCTACAGAAGACGACGCTGGGCAACAGCACAAGTCGACCACAGTCATCCAAACATCTTACCCGCGTGATATCATAATACCAGGAGGACGCCACGACAATGACAAGGCCGACATCACGACAATGAACATATTTCCCACCCGAGATGAGATCATGAGCGACGCCAAGGAGTTCTTGCCTTCGACCGATCCCGATCAGCCGCACTTTCTCGACAACAGGCTGGAGAGATACATAGACACGTACTTCCGCCTCCTTCGCCACGATGTTCTAGGCCAGCTGAAAGACGGCATTGGCAGCTTCATGAAAACTATTGTTCAAGATCCGAAGCAGATGACAAACCCAATGCCTGTGTTCAGTGACAATCATACCTACAGCTACAGCAATGCCTTCGTGAGCTACCTGCTCCTCAAAAAGAGTGGTGGCTTGCAGGCAAGAATTTCCTTCCCACAGCCTCAGTCTTTTCGCAAGGAACAAAGGGCTGATAAGCGAAATTGGTGGGAGGAGTCGAGACGTCTGGAAGAAGGCATACTGCTCTCCTTTGTCTGGATCCAGGATTCTTGTGTCCACCACCTGTTTCTCACCGTTGCCGAGAGAAGTACCGACCCAAAAAGTGACAGCAGCCTAACTCACAACGACAATATGGCGACTATCACAACAAAGCTAGCTACGCAAGATAAGCAACACGTCGAACTGCTGCTGAAGCTGAGCTGCGAGAAGGTTCACGGCGTTATGCTCGAGTTTCCACACGTGCTCCCCGCTACATTTACGCTCGTACTGAAGAGTTTGCAACATATGCAGCGCTTGAATCGGATGCCTTTTCACGAGTGGATCTTGCCAGATCGTGTTGAACAACCTGGAAATGCACTCAAAATTCCTCCGCCATTGTACGCTCGGCATGCTGGGTTTGCATTTCCTCTCGATGCCGTTCTCGGTCATGGCTCGAGTGCCATGTCACTGCCTTCGACGTCAACGGATCAGGATCTCACTCTGATGGCAGAATTGGAGACCAAGACGGGACTTGATCGTGGACAATGTTCGGCGTTGATCGCTGCGCTCACCCGAGAATTTGCCCTCATTCAAGGTCCTCCCGGGACTGGAAAGTCTTACGTTGGAGTGAAGATCATGCAAATTCTCCAGAGTGTAAAAGCGAGGGCCAATCTAGGTCCAATTATTGTTGTGTAAGTGTTGCATCTGCGTGCAGCACAGTCATAGGTTGAGAACATATTGAAAAAAATGAACTAACAGAGATTCGCAGGTGTTACACGAACCATGCCCTGGACCAGTTTCTTGAGCATCTCATAGCTACAGGAATTCGCAAGATCGTTCGGATCGGAGGACAGAGCCGATCAGAAATGTTGGACGGCCATAACCTCAGGAACATTACAAAGTCCGAGTCGAAAAGTAGACAGGAAGGCTGGCAAGTTGCTAGTGCTTACCGTGCGCTGGAGGAACACGAAAATCGGTCGGGGCGCATTTTGGGACGAGTACACGGTGTTAGAAAGCGACCGGAATGGAGAGCTTTCCGACATCACCTCGCCCGAAAGCATCGACGCATATGCGAGCAATTCAACACTGTGGACGTTGATGGCTTCAAGGCTGTTGGGCGACATCCTTTCGAAATATGGACATCTGGCATCAAGCAGGAGGACGTCGCGATTACGATAAGAGCGTCATCGACCAGAGCTTTGGATCGAACCATTATCATCGAGAAGGCAAACCGGAATGTCCAGGCGCTCTCGTCTTTCGAGAGGCAGGCACTTGTTGGGATCTGGACACAAGAAATTCAAGAAGACGCAGCGGCTGAATTCTTCGAGGTTGTTGAGGATGCCGAACAGAGCCAACGCCATCTCTCGAATGTCCATGAGGAGGTGAACCGACGCGTCCTGCAAAGTTCGGACGTGATCGGTATCACGACAAGCGGCCTTGCCAAGAACTCCTCGACTATACGACGTGTACGGTCCAAAGTTGTCATATGTGAGGAAGCTGGTGAGGTAATGGAGCCGCATGTCATGTCAGCATTACTGCCTTCCGTGGAACATTTTATCCAAATCGGCGACCACCAACAGCTGCGACCGTCGATCAATAACTTTCTCGACTTGTCCCTCGAAAGCGACCGCGGTAAGTTGCATCAGCTGGATCGGAGCCAGTTTGAACGACTCTCGGTCGGCGAGCCCGGGAGACCGTCTATCCCTTTTGCTCAGTTGAACGTCCAGAGGCGCATGCGCCCTGAAATCTCTACATTGATTCGAGAGACAATCTACAAACGACTGGATGATCACCCAAGCACAATGCAGCTGCCCGATGTCGTCGGCATGCGCAAGAACGTGTTTTGGCTCAACCACAACAACATGGAAGATGACGGTGGCGGCAGCATGAACCACCATAAGAAATCAAAGTCTAATGGGTGGGAAGTCCAGATGGTACATGCTCTGGTACGCCATGTGGTTCGACAGGGCGTCTACTCTACCAGCGACATCGCTGTATTGACACCGTATACTGGTCAGCTCCAGAGGTTACGCGCAGCCATGCGCCATGACTTTGAGATTGTCTTAAGCGATCGAGACGATGAAGCTCTGATCAAAGACGGATTCACCGCTCAAGACTCAATCATGGAAGATGCAACTGCCGAGCAGAACAGCAGGAAAAAGCCGCTGGAGAAAAAGCAACTCAGCGAGCTTCTCCGCATCGCCACTGTTGATAACTTCCAGGGCGAGGAGGCCAAGATCATCATTATCTCTCTCGTTCGAAGCAACAAATCCCGAAAGGTGGGCTTCCTCAAAACCACGAATCGCATCAACGTCCTTCTCAGCCGGGCACAGCACGGAATGTACCTCGTCGGCAACATCGATACGTACTCGTGCGTACCGATGTGGCAAAAAGTCATCGATATGCTTCGTGCTCAAGATTTTGCTGGCCCGTCTTTGGGGCTATGCTGTCCTCGACACGTAGACACAGCGATCCAGGTGCAGCAACCAGACGACTTTCTGAAGTGCAGCCCGGAAGGTGGTTGCCAGGAGCCTTGTAAGGACCGCCTCCCGGAATGTGGACACCGATGTCAAGCGAAATGTCACTCTCGCATGATGCATGAAGTTTTCCAATGCGAACAGCCCTGTCAACGCCGACATCAATTTTGCAACCATCCCTGCCAGAAGCCCACTTGCGGCGAGCCTTGCGGCAGATGTGTCATTCCTGTGGATAACGTGCACCTCGAATGCGGCCATACCAAGGACAGTGTCTCGTGCTTCCGCACACAAGATCTTAGCTCCATCGAGTGCGATGCCATAGTCACGAAGACATCACCTGGCTGTGGACACCAGGTGGTGGCACGCTGCCACGAAGATGTGCACAGCGAAACATATAGATGCTCGACCCCATGCGGCACAACCCTTCGCTGTGGCCATACTTGTCCGGGCACATGTGGCTTTTGCAACCGCAAAAATCTCGAAGGGAATGCAACCGTGGAACATCACAAATGTACCAGGGTGTGTGGTCGGCATTTCGGAACATGCGATCATACCTGTCCCAAACGCTGCCATGATGGATCGGACTGTGGGCTCTGCACATCCAAGTGCGAGGTGAGTTCTTTATCCGTCTTCATAATGCTCATTTCTAATGCTCAGCCAAGGTCGCATGTAAACACTCTCGGTGCAACCTCAAATGCCACGAAGCGTGTGCCCCGTGTATCGAGCCGTGCATATGGTCGTGTTCACACCAGGGAGCGTGTACGATGCCATGCTCCGCACCCTGCAACCGCCTTCCGTGTGATGAGCGCTGCACTCGGTTACTTCCTTGTGGCCATCAATGCCCTGGATTATGCAGCGAAGACTGCCTCTCCGCATTTTGCCAAGCATGCGAAATGAGACTCGATGCTCACGTCGACATGATCGAATTCAAAGAGTATGCAAAAATCAATCTCGAGGAGACTCCTATCGTAGCTCTTAGCTGTGGGCATTTTTTCACCACAGAGACTTTGGACGGTACGTATGGCCATGGGCCAGATCTTGTTCACATTTGAACCAAGACCCTCAAGATGCAGTGAACGCGCTGTTTCTGGATCTTGCTAACGTGTTTACTCTATCATGCAGGACTAATCGGGCTAAACGACGTCTACGAGATCGGTCCAAACGGTAACGTCATTGGTCTGGGAGATACTTCGTCCAAGTTGTCACCAGCAATTCCGAAGTGTCCGCATTGCCAGCGACCGATCCAGCAATACACAACACATCGATACAACCGCTTGATCAACCGGGCTGTGATCGATGAGATGTCCAAGCGGTTCATCGTCACAGGCCAGACTGCACTACAGGAGATAGAGCGGAGACTTATCGAGATAGAAACGATCCTGCAAGCCTCTCGTCAAGATGTCGTCCGAGAGAATCTGGCCTCCGCTCTAATTGGCATACGTCAGCGAGGTATCAGAGAAGTCGCTCAAAAGCTTGTAACACGGTATACGCCAGCCTTGAAGCTTCGCTCTGACATCGGAAAACTACAGACACGCACGGGAAAGCACCACCAACCTGCACACAAACTGCACGACGCTACTATCTATGCAACAGGACGAAGCAGCGGTCTCGAGAGTGCATTTGGAGGTCTCAGGCTTGAGCACATCCCAGTCGTTAGCGAGCGCGATGACCGCATTGCACTCAGAACGAATATGATGCGAGTCAGGACGGATGGCGTGATCCTGGAAGACAAGCTGCGTCTCATTCCGATGGTGAGAGCTGAGTACGGAGATTCAGCTTCCTCTTTAGCATTGTTCGAACGCTCTCCGGCACAAGCCTTTTTCCAGTCCTGTGGGAAGCTCGTCGCCGAGTGCAAGGACAAGGCCCTGAAGAGAATAGCGGTAGAGCTGTCACTCCTCTACGCGCAACTAATCCGGGCAATCGACACAGCTGGACTTCGCGAGCCGGAAGACCGCGAGATGGCCACAAGGGAACGGGACAACGCCAGGAACCTGCTCGAGGAAGCAACGATACTATGCGAGCACGGATTCCACGATGCAGAGACTCTGCTAGAAGCAGTCAACCAGTCTTTGAAGCTTCTGCGAAAGGAATGGTATGCGAAGGTCACAGACCAGGAGCTTGAAGCAATCAAGAAAGCGATGGTGAGCGGGTCGAAAGGAATCGCAACCCACTCCGGCCACTGGTACAATTGCGCTAATGGTCATCCGGTACGTCTTGTCTTTGGAATGTGTTGTATGCATGCTGACTGACAGTGGATAGTTTGCTATTGGGGAGTGTGGGATGCCGATGGAAGTTGCACGCTGTCCGGAGTGTGGTGCGAATATTGGCGGACAGCACCATGTGGCTGTGCAGGGTGTGACTCGTGCGGAGCGAATGGAGCAATGAGGTTTCGTATTTACTGCATCGGCAAGCTTCTGGGTGGTTATATGAACTGCGGTACATCTGGAGATGGAGATGTTGTATCAAGTGTGTTGCAATGACATGCAGCGAACTAGGTTTGATTTGATTTGATTTGATTTGATTTGATTTGATTTTCTACTCGGTTTTAGCAGCAATTGAATCGGCGGCTATGCCTAGGAGAGAGGGCTTGGCTAACGGCGGACGCGTTTTAGACTGTAATGGGGGGTTGTAGTAATATATAGAACTCTAATTAACCTAGTACTAGGTTAAGCGTAGAATAAACTTCTACCTTCTCTATCCTCGTATACGGCGAGTATAAAATACGTACTAGGGAATTACGTATACTATTACGTAGGAAAGGTTTACCTCGGTCCCTCTTAGGTTTCTAAATATCTCTTAGTATTCCTTTATAATTACCTCCCTCTCTAGGGAGAGCTAACCCTAGCTCGTTTCCGAATCGCCTATGTACCGTATTATC